CTGAGACAGCTTCTGGGCTGAGGAAGCTGGCACGGGCTGGTGCTCCAAATGCCTGAAAAGAGGAAGAAAAGGAACTGAGTTCTGGCTGGGATAATAATGTCTGCAGCTGCAAGGTCCCACTGAGAGCTTTTTCAGTTTCGAAAGCAAAGAAAACAGAAAGTGCAAAGAATAGGTAAAGCTGCTGCCAGCTGCAGGATGCTGCTGCGACAGCTGGGACGGGACCCTGGGAGCAGGCGACATCCCTCCCTTACTCTGCCACTCCTCAGCACCTTCAGGATCACCTGTGGGAGGTGGCAGCCAGCTCATTAGCTGGGGCAGCAATTAAATGGGAGTGAAGCCATCACCCGCAGCTGGACAGAGCTGTGGGGCTGCTGGAAGTGCTCCAGGAATGGGACTGCAACTGATGGAGAAGAGCTGGCTGCACACATTGAACGTCATGCTTCTGACATTCTGGCTGTAAAGCGTGGGGCAGCATGGGGTCTGCAAGCAGCAGGATCCCAAGCAGGGCCATAGTCTGCTGGAAGCCACTGAATCAGGATGGGCTCTGGAAAATTCTTTCATAGTATTGTGAAGAGGAAAAAAAAACATTTCCTTTCATCATGAAAGAAGGAGTGCTGGAAAGGTGGAGAAGAGGAAGACATAATTATCTCCACTACTGTTCCAAAACAATTTCTGTGCTTTCTGTTTCTAACCACAAGTAATCCTCCAGCTCACCCCGGAAATGAAGTCATCCTTGCAACTAAAAAGAGCATCTTATTTACCTTCACTGTGTGTTCCCGTGTCTGTGTGCACGAGCACTGTTTTCCAAATCCAGGGCAGCACAACTCAGAGCAGCTGTGAGGGAAACCAGATGACAGTGCTGGAAAAATGAGCAGTTTTGCCTTGACCCCGTGGGCACTGTGCTAGAGCAGCAGCCACCACTGAGCAGCTGGCCCTGCAGCCATCTCCCCTTCTTCCCCTGCTGTGTTAAGCTCTCAAGCTCTGTGCAATCCTGATCACTCTGCAAGCAAATGGAAGCATTCAGCAGAGCACTGGACTTTATTCCTGCATGGAGGAGTCAGGAGACGCTGCCCCCCCCCAGTGCCCACTGCTATTTGCATGTGGCAGCTTGATGCACCAAGGGTTAGGGTCAGCACAGAGCAATGGCACAAGTGTGCAGTACCAGCTGTGGCTCCCAGCTGGGTGCTACCCCTTGGCCCTGCTGGGCCAGCCACAGGCTGGACAGTCCCATGCAACAAGCAGGACAAAGAAGGCAGAGCTTCAACCTCTACAGTTTAAGCATGGGAATGTCCTTTAAAAATTCAGCAAAGCTTTTATAGGGTGCTGGCAGCACAAGCAAGCCACGTGACATTGCAAGGCTGAGCTCGTGTGTTGGCATCCCCCAGATTTTAATGCACAGAATCACGTAGCTTTCTCCAAGGACACTTTGCACTTTGTTTGGCCTTGGCAACCATCAAGTTAATAGCAAAGCCTCTTCCAAAAAAATAAAATCCCAACCAAACACTGACTTTTGGCAGGCAGAAAAAGAATCCAAGGCACTGCATCACTTGGAGTGAGCACTGTTTAGTGCTAATGCAAAATTTATGGCTGCAGCAGAGCTGAACCGCGCAGCTGCTGCCTCCTCCTGCCTTGGATCCCAGGGGAGCAGCTCCTGGTTGCCGGGCATGGCTCAGACGGATGGAACAGAAGAAAGGATGGACAGACAGATGTATGGGTGGCATTTGGCCCCACATCATGAGAGTGTGCTGGGGGTGAGGCCAGAGTGAGCAGGAAAAGCACCCCATACTTGCGACTGCTAAAAGCGATTTCCACCTGGTAATTTCAGCAGCTGCTCTGCCCACCTTCCCAGATGTAAGTAGGAGGTGAGTGAAAACAAGAATGGTGACAGAGTTTCCCCCCCCACAAAGCTCTGTATCTGCACATTTTTAACTTCTCCCTGACCCTGTTTTAAAGACACAGTCATTTTTTTTCCTTCTGATACATGCTCTTTTTCCTTTGTTGTTCTGGCTAGTAAAAAAAAGTGATAGTTCATCCAAGCTGTCTTTTGGGTGGTTACAGTCAATGATCACCAGAGCCACACTGCAGCTTCTGGATCCACCCACCACTCCCCTCCCTCAGCTGGAGCCAAGGAATGCCAGAAGAAACACAGCGCCCAGTGCCAGGCAGCACAGCAGGAGCCCAATGCATGGTCCCACCGCCCCACAGCAGAGCTGCGGTTCAACGTGCCACTCAGCAGCAGTGGGCTCATGCCCAGTAAAGCACAGGGCACGTTACCAAACCAGGTGGAGAGCTAGCTGTCCACACAGTGGGGACGCATGGCTGGGGCTATGGCTGCAGGCTTGAAGCCCGGTTCCCTGCCCATTTACACCGCTCTCCAACAGAGCGCTGGTGACCTGAGTGTACTGCTGCCTTCTTGAGGGAGGGGTCACTGTGCTGCTGGGCTTTCCTCCGTCCTGCTCTAACTTCATCAGTCCCAATGATGACCTAATTCTAAGTTCTCGTTCGCTGAACCTCTTAACAAATAACAAGCAACTCAGTCAGCACTGACCTCTGATACACTTACACTGAACTCAGGTCAAAACCATCAGCAGTATTTCATTTCCAGCGGAGTCCCGGGACATCTTCACTGCCGACACTGCAGACAGAAGCTGCCAATGGACAACGCCACACTCCCCAGACCTGACTGCCAGGAGGGAAGGTGTGTGCAGCCACAAGCCTTCAGCCTGCAGCACAGCATCACTTGATGTGGCCTTTTCAGGGACAACGGATCTGTGCACATTTCAATATCATCCTCCATGCTCTGTGGATACATTGCCACAGGCGGTGCACGCACTGCAGCAGGGAACGGTATTTGGTACCTCCGATGCCACTTCTTCCAAGTATTTGAACGTTACAAACGCAAACAACACAGCCCCAGCCCAGCACCAATGAAAGCAACCTATGTAAGCAGAGTCTGGGACATAATTAAAACACGAGACTAAACAAAAACATTTGTGAGTTTGCTGGAAAAACTCCGCAATACAAACTCGGCTTTTTGGCGCGCATCTGTTGGCACTCCCTGGCTCCGGGCGCTGCTCCCCGCGCCCCCTCCACCCCGCGCACCACGACCCGCCCGCCCCGCGGGCCGCAGCCCAGCGCCCGCCTCCGGACTGCCCGACCCCGCCGGCGGGCAGCAGCGCCACCCCGCGGTCACATCGCGCTTCGCCTCCCGCCTTGTCGCTCGTTAGAACACAAGGGAAATAGGCGGTCTGCGGGAATTTAACATCCCAGTTGATTTCAAAAGTCACTTCGGGCATTGTATCCTTTTACACTTGAAACACACGTCCTTAAAGCCTTTCTCTGTCCCTAACAACGCCGCGAGGTAGAGGTCTTTGCAGTAAAAAAGCAGCCTCCAGCGCCTACTCCAGCCGCCTCCTGCACACCCATCCAGAGATGGGGCAGCACCGCCAAGGGAGAAACCACTGCCCTCCAGGCTGCTGGTGACATCCGAGGGTTCCCAGGAAATGATAAAGCAACTCGGAAAGCTCTAGTGCCTGCTAGTTTGAAGCCATTTTGCCTTGAATCTGGAAGAGAGGAGATTTAGACTGGATAGCTCTTTATAGGAGTGGTGAGACACCGGCACAAATTGCCCAGAGGAGGTAGGAGGCCCCGTGCTCCATCCAAGGTCAGGCTGGATGGAGCTCTAAGCACCTGATCCAGCTGTAGGTGTCCCTGCTCACTGCAGAGGTGTTGGACTAGGAGGCAGTTCTAAAGGTCCCTTCTAAATGAAAAGATTCTATGATTCTTTTCTAAACGAAGCCCATGTATACACACCAAAATTCAGCACCACATTTTCTACTTTCAAATAAGAGTACAGTCTTATTTAAGAAAGAAACAACTTATTTTTTCCTTTTGTAGCAGAACTATATTTAAATTAGTTTTTATATACAAATTGAGAACACAATTGTTATAAGAAACCAAAACAATAAAAATCAAAAATGATACAAAGATGAAACAGCTCTAGTGAAGGGAAGCTCATAAATCACACTCTCCTGTAAGATTACACTCCTATGTATACACAAGAATGCAGCTCCAAGTAGGAAAAAACTGCAGTGCAAATTACTTTAAAACCCACATGGGTAGCAGAATGCAGTGGAAGTAAATTCACAGTTGAACAGAGCTATCACATTTTATTTTTCTCTTCAGCAGAAGATGATCACATAAAACCAGCCAAATGCTTTTCCCCCCAAGCATGGAAAGCTTACAACTTCAGCAATTCTAGAAGCAGTACTGCGAGGTTCCAACATTTGTTACTGCTCAAGGATTCCACATAAAAACATACCAGTTTCTACAAATGAAACTGAATCTGATCAGCTAAATTCTTTCCTTCTCATGCATCAACCACAACAATTTTGCTGTACCCACTGGCCATGCAATTCCATGGTGACCAATTCTGACTCCTGCTGATGGATGAGAAGAAGCCACAACAAAAAGAAATATCAAGGGCAGGCTGACCTCGCAGGACCAGAATAACAGAAAAATAGCAATAGAGCCCATTGCTCACACAAATAAGCGCACTACACTCTTGTTTATGTCCTCCAAGTGCAAAAATAGCCCATCTCTTGAGAACTGTGCTGCATTCATTACATGATTGGGCCTCAGAAGAACTGTACTTCAAGCAAGTTCACTGTCCCACAATCTTCTGGCACATTTGTGGTCTTATTGCACAGGTAAAGCTCTGGAAGCAGGCTGCTACTCAACCCAGAATCCACACTGCTCTGCTGAAGCAAGTAAGGAATCGATCATTTTTTTAAACAGTGATTAGACTACAAAAATAGATTTAACGTTTAATTAAAAAACCCACAACCATACATTAATAGCTCTACTGGATCATCTTGAGACACAAAGAAAATGCGTGACATAATTGCTGCAGTTATCCCTGATAACACCAGTTAGTACCATTTTTCTGAATGATGGCAAGACAGAACAGAAAGGGGTTACTAGAACTGAAGGAAACCTGGTATTTCACAATTTAGCTTTTATTTACCCCTCAGTTACAGAGCACTGAATTATCAGCCCCACCACCAACTCTAGTACCTAAAGCACTCACATATTAAGAATGTTATCAGCAGGACAGGCAGACTGTGCTACTTCTTTCAGAACACAGTAGGACTCTGACAAGTCAGCACGGCTGTGACTACCACAATACCTCAGTTCATACACATTTTACACTTTTAATTCATATTATTCAATACAAGTATAAAAGTAGGACCAAGTTAAATAGAAAATATGGCTTCATATTGCTACTCATGGGATCAGAAATGTTTATGATTCATTCTTCACAGCATTGAAGTTGTCCTTAACAGCAGAGCAAAAGGCTATGACAGTTGGCCACAGTCAGTAATAACAATCTTTTTGGAAGGCTTTCCATTCTTGGAACCAAAGCTCTCAATTTTTTTCACAACATCCATTCCTTCCTTTACGTGCCCAAAAACAACGTGTTTTCCATCCAGCCTGGAAGAGAAATAACGAAGGCATGTTTACTCAGCAACATACAGCTCAGTGAAGGGATGTAAGCAGACCTGCATAGCTGTCACCTGCTGATCTACTCCAATTATTGGAAAGAAACAACTGCACTTCTAGTGACAAGAAAACCATTTAGCTATGGGTTTTAGATATGTTACAAGAGACCAAGGCCTTATCTTGCTGAGACTCTAACTTAAAACTTTCAGTCTACTCCAGAGCACAGAAGAAAGTAAGGCTGCTGTATTTTCAACTACAATATGTCAAGGATAACAGTGAGGTAGGCCAGACTGAGCACCCAAGTTACACAAAGCTGTTTATTTTCCATAAGTAATGGATAAACTAAACCACAGCCAAAAATAACTACAACACCTATGGATCCAGGCATCGATTCATCAGGTTAATATGCTAGGCTAAAAACATACCAGTCTGTTTTTGCAGTGCAGATGAAGAACTGAGATCCGTTTGTGTTGGGTCCTGCATTGGCCATTGAGAGAACACCTGGAACAGAAGCAGGTTTTAGATCAGTATAAGAAGGCTGTCATAGAAAGGACCATTCCCCTCTACAAGTTTAGACTAATAATGGACAGAAGACATACATGATGGTCTCCAAATGATTTCTAAATTGTTTCTAATGTCAACCTCTTGTCTTTAGCTTTTCCCTCCAGCCCAACCTCTCTTCCTGCCACAGCAAGAACTGTAGTAATATTTATTTGAGCAAGCCTTATATTATAATTAATATCAGCTAACTTCTACTGTGGTTCAACTGTAGCAGTAGTTCCTTGTACTAAGGATGTAACCATCCAAAGAAGATACTTAACCTTTAATCAGATATTTTTATGCATAGGTTTCCCTTTTTTTCTGGATTTTATTTAAGCTTAAAGGATGTACTTGTATTATAGTAGACAGAAGTCCCAGATTGATTTTACTTTTATAGTAACCACCTGAGTAAAAATTAAGTCAAGACTTACAAAAGAGAAAATTTTAAAAAGAGGAAATAAAAAGCAGTATTTTCACCTTTGTAGAATTTAAGTAAAATACTAAAAATCCATAGATATATTTTTCACAGTTATGTCATACAAGGAGCAATATCACCTATTACAGGCTAACATGTTCATACACATACATGTCAGGGACAATAATGTAATCAGTAATATTTCAGTAACTCTCACATGCACCAAATATCTAAAGAAGCTTTTTTTTTTCCCCAAAAAAGTTTATTTCTAAGAACAATGCATCAAAGGTTACAGTAACCAGAAGAGAAAAATGTTTATTTACCAGGTCCTACGTGCTTAAGTACAAAGTTTTCATCCGGAAATCTACTGCCATAAATTGATTTTCCTCCAGTTCCATTATGGTTTGTAAAGTCACCACCCTGAAAAAGAAATAGGTATTAACATTACTAGCACACAAGTGTTATTTTACACCAGAAGTACTGCTGTCAAAGTATACTCATCTGCTCTACAGTAGAAGTAATAAAAACATCAGATTTTCCTAAGTAAGTTCATGTGAAGATTTAAAATCATATAACTAGATGAAGAAATAAACTAAAAGCAAATTTCTGCTCTAGATATCATTAATATTCTCCAGCTGACATCCCTAACTCTTAAGACAATCTTCCTGTATTACCATTCTTATTCCCAAACATATTGAAAGAAATTCAGTAGTACTTTTAAGAACTAAAAGGCCCTCAAGCAAATAGATTACATCAAAATGCATAGCCACAAGCACACAAGGAGAATTTTATCCCCATCCCCCTTTTAAAAAAAAGTTCTTACTCCTAAGATCTGTCATCACTATTCACCTTTAACAGCTCTTCTCATGTAAGGGCTGAGAGCTGGCAAAGCAGCAGCATGCAGCCACCTGGGCTCCCACTCAGCAGGCACAGCACCTGTAAGTGCTGACTTTGCAGCACAGAATTGGATGGTCATGCACAAACCTATAGATGAACTGACAGATAACTGAAAAACATTCAGAATCTCTGAGAGTCATAATCCAGAACTTTTGTATATATTTTTTTGAAGATATAATAGAACAGGCTATTCCTTACAAGAACAAGCTACAAATCAGACCTCTATACCATACGTTTTTCTTCAGGAAAGCAGAAACCATCATTGTAGGTTCTCATCTACATCATTATCCCATGCTACATCCAAGGTACTCCACACTTCCTCAGCTGCATGTGCTTGCTGGCATGCATGTGGCCACCTCCCTTAGATTACACATGAAAACTAAAAGCCTAAACCAGAACCCTACCACAGCAACTCTCAAAGGCAGCTCCTGAGCACTGTGCACAACAACTCACTGGCTCTGCTCCCAGAAACCACTGTGCTGGCACACAGCAGCCATGCAACAAACACTGCACGTGATACTCATCTTCGTGTTCTCACCTTGAGCAATCTCTTCTGACAGTAACCTTGTATGCAATCCCAGAAGCATGCTTTGCATATCATGTGCTGTAAGGAGGCATCTTAATTACAAGTCATAGCCATCACCTGGATATGACGGACTCTAATTAGGCATAGTGACCGCCTGACTCACATCAACACCCCATCTCAGTAAGTGGAAAGGCCTATGGATTGGTTCATCTTAAAAATCATTGTAACCCTTGACAATATTTCACTTCTGTAGTGACTACCGAGTACTTCCCAGATGTTAAGTCATCATCTCATGGTATCATCAGCCACCTTTGTCCTCATTTCAGGTCCATTTGTGCAAACAAAGTAGACAAGTAAGACCAAATTATACTAACTTCACAAATTAGTGGTACAACTGAGGATAGGATTTCTGTTTTATGACCTCAGCAAGACTGCTAAATTTTGTCAGTTTATCACCGCAAAAGCTAATTTGCATTTTAAAGGCAAGATATTACATTTTTTACAGCACACCTGCCCACCTTCTTAGGTATAAATGGGTCATAAGATGAGGACTTCTTGTTCAAAGAACTGTCTGTTACAAAAAAAAAACCAACACCACCTAAATAACCAAACAAGAATGAGGGACCACCACAGCCATCAATACAGAAAGCCCATTTGATTTCCAGTTGTTTTCATTCTACAACACAATACTGTTGAAATGGAGCTTCTCCCAAGGGAAGAGAGGAATACCAGGAATTATACAATCCAGTGCACTATAGCAGCAGAATGCAGTAAGAAAAGGGCTTCCAAAAAGGCTTTTTTTAAAAAAAAAAGGTAATATGGGTTTTATTTCAGAATTTTGAAAGATATATATATATATTTTTAAATCAAAACACAACCTACTTTAGGTGTGCCACCCCAAATTTATCCCAACACTTTCTACTCCATCCCCCCTCCCTATTTTTTCCCCTGAAGCACAATGTTTACTGTGAACAAATTAACCCACTAAGATTGCACACACTATTCTCTAAACTGGCTTCAGAGGTAAGACTGCTTGTCATTCTACTCATAAACAGTTCTCCCAAACAAGTGCCAGTCACCAGGTGTGCCTCACCTTAAGTACACTGTTATAAAAGCATGAAGCCTTAAGCAAAGTTGCTTTTTCTCTTTTAAAGTGAATCTATACAGAATTCACATTTATTTGTACAAAACATATGCCAAGCAGCTGCCACAGCAAGACCAGAAATGCAGTAAGCAAAAGTGAGAGCAGGGACACTTAAAATGTTACCACTGGTATCACTGGTTCTAAAAATACAGCAATAGCATACAGATAACATTAGAAGCAGAAGTAAAACCAAATGGTAAACATTACCTGGCACATAAATGAAGGAATAACTCTGTGAAAGGTGGATCCTTTATAACCAAATCCTTTTTCACCAGTACAAAGCGCTCTGAAGTTCTCTAGAAAAAACAACACATAAAACATTGTTACCCATACATGATACAACAGAATCAAACACAGCTGACCAGTTCCAAAGTTCATGAACCAAAAAAGGCAGTATTATTGCAATTATCATTTTCACCCTCAAAAATCCTTTGCTGCATAGCTACAGATACAAAGCCTAAAGTTTGCCTCAGAGCAGGCTACAAACACAGTTCTCCCCCCACACTGCTCTTTTATTTACTGCCGTATCTTAAGTATAGTCCTAAGCCCCACTCTGGAATCAAAGGTTTCATTTCTTACACCTTATCCCTTTGCTCTCTGCATTAATCGTACAGATGGCACATTTTTTTTTAGACAATTAATCCACTGGGAACTGAAAAAAGTTTTCAGAACCATGAAATAAGCAGATGAGGTAGGAAGCACCTGGGAAAACACATGAACTTTGTAACCTGGACACGCTGATCTAATGCACATGGATAAGTGACCCAGGAGTTGCAACCCTGCCTGTGGCAGGGGGGTTGGAATTTGATGATCTTTGAGGTTGCTTTCAACACAAGCTGTTCTATGATTCTACAGTCAACTAACGCCAATGAGGACAAACCCCTGTATAATGCCTGAGAACCAAAATGCAAGGGACACCATCCCGTACACCTACCCTTTCCTATTTCTTTTGTGGTTTGATTTTAATAGGAAGCAATTTGTCTTGAAACATTTATTCACCACTGATAGCCTAACATGGAGCGTACTGTTTTATTTTGTAAGCGCACAGTGACTATTTGAAATAGCAGAAGATTATAACCCCACTCATAGCACTGTCTGATAAAGTTGAGTGTGTATTTTCCTATTTAACAAATGGAGAAGGATAATAGAAGTGGGTTCCATAAAGCAACAGAACATTCTTCTTCCTACCACTTCAAGTATGAAAATCACAAGATGCTGCCTTACCTGCTGTCTTCGGAACAACATCTGCTTTCAGCTGTAAGAGAAAATAAAATAGAAGTTAGCTCTGTGTGACAGGCTGGTTCAGCTAAACCCTTTTAACCAAACACAAGGTGTTTGAAAACACAGGCCACCCAAAAACCTAATGCTTACTTAGTGTGGGCAAGTAATGGCCAGTAGCAAATGGCATCCTTTGCTATGGAAATTTGGGCAAGTTAATGATGATTGACTTGAGCAATATCTGAAAACAGCCCTGAAAACAGAAACATCAGGAGGAAGCTACGACAGACCCCAGGGACAAAAGCCCCATTGGTAGAACCAGAGCAGTAAGCTCTCCCTAGCACACTGCCATCTGTGAAGCCTTACAGAAAGGAAAAAGAAGAACAGAAAATGCTTATCAAATCTGACTCACGACAGGAACTCCTGTGATTGCTACACCTCTTTTTACTAATCCTAAATACAAGCACTACGTGCCACCTAGAAAAAGCAACATCGGATCAAGATGGCATACAGGGCACACAAAAGCACCCAGACATTACTAAATCTTACAGATGAAGAAGGAACTTGCACAGCGGGACTTTTACCTCTGACCATCTCAAACGTCTGTGTGCAATTAACACATACATCAACATTTCCCAGGATGAAGAAGGAGCTGGGCTCCGGCCAAGCACCAAATCATTTCGGAGACATCCTTACGGAGCACACCGCGATCTCTGTAAGCACGCAGGGACACAGGGGGCAAAGCCACCGCACGGCCGAGCCCAGCTGCGCCCTTGGCACGTCCTCGGGCACCGCGACCCGCGGTGTGAAAGCGGAGCCCGGAGCGGCCCCTCGCCCCCTCCCCGCGCTCGGATCCGAGCTCCCGCCGCTTCCCCGCCCTCCCGTGACCTTGCGGCCCGCCACGCCGGCCGCCGCCGCGCTCCCCGCCCCGCCTACCTCCAGCACCACGCGCCCCAGCGGCTGGTTGTCGGCGCCCACGTCCAGATACACCAGCGGGTTGCGCGGGCCCGCTCCGTCCGAGCTGCAGCCGCGTGCTCCGGCCGCTCGCGCGCAGGCGAGCCCCGGCGGGCGCAGCAGGCGGCGGGCGGCGCTCAACGCCAGCATCGGCACGCGGGCGGCAGCACGGCCGTACGAAGCCGGCGGTCCCGCCCCCGCCTTTTATCGGCTCGGCAGCGCCGCTGGGGCCGCCGCGGCTATTGGCTGTCCGCGCGCAGCCGCCGTGCGGTCATCCGGCTGCGGGCTGCGAGCCGGGGCCGGCGGGGCGGGGCGTCTTTAGACGCGCATCTGGCTTCATCATGAGAAATGCCGGGTGATGCTTACAGTGGGTGCAGCATGTAACAAAGGAGCAACCTATTCTAAGCAATAGATCGGGCAAGCGGGGTGAACAGTGACTTGCAGGACTCTGAGTTGTGCCCGGTGTCACTGTGTTCGCTGCCGTGGGCTTTAAGGGAGATTACTAAGGGAAATAGAAGCAGTATGGGCTTTAGGAAATGTATCCGTGTCTGTATCTGTAACAGACAAAAAGAATATACCTGTCCCCAAGATTCACAAGCGCCCGTGCCAGGCCGAGCGCTGCTGGTGAGGCGGCGAGAGTTTCTCTGCAGCTCTGCTGCAGTGACAGCAGGAGCAGCCGAGCAGCGGATGGTTTCCTGCAGCCCAGGGAAGCACGCGCACAGGGAAGAGCTCCTACTGCACGTGAAACTGCACATCATCTCCTGCTTTTTGGACAATGAGTACCGGCTGCCATAAGGTGATTTATTGTGGGTTTGTTTAACAGTAGCCCAATCAGCATGCATTTCTAGTTGCCTTTTATCCTCTCAGCCACAAGTCCATTTTGGAAAATAGTTCAGTTCACCTAGCTGTCAATCCATCAATCTGCTTATTCTCTGGTGACCGTAAAAAAACCCCAAACACTCTTTCTAGTGTTGTTTTAATTGTAGGAGCCACTAGAAGCAGAAACCAGAATGAGCACTTGGGTATTAGGTTTTGTGTGTACTTATAATAAGAGACAGTTCTGGCCTTAAAGGACTCATTATTTAATAAGCAAGACAAAAGATGAGCAACAGAATGTCCTCTTTTCACACTCTGAGCTGTTTTGCTCTGAGTTCTTGGGAGTCTTGAGTAGGCCAAGCAATGCACTCCTGCACACTTACTGCTTTGTGAGAAGCAGAACAACTTGCTTTCTTTCTCAGTAGTGTTTTACTTGGGAAGATAGGCTAAATTATTATCTCTAGGCTTATGCAACAAAGCCACCAAACCACCTGTCATGTTCTACCTCTTCACAATCAGTGAATTGATGGGACATTAAGAACTCGGGAGTTACAGAGAAGTCATTTTCCAAGAAAGGCAGAAAAAAAGCACTGTAAAAAATCTGCCAAAAGACCACCTTGGATCATGAGAACATGAGGCTGAGAGCTAGCTGCGTGATGTGAAATGGTTTTAGAAAAGTACTGAACAGACCTGTGTGAAGATCTGCTCACTGTTACATCCCAAGGAATGCCCAGGGCCCCGAGCCCTGTGGGATAAGGATAGGGATGGGCACAGCAGGTAGGAGAGGCTTTGGCACAGGCAGAAGCAGCCTGGTGCTGGTGCTGAAGGTCCCATCACAATCAGTTTTTTCTTCAAGGTTTTGGCTAAGCTGGAAGATAAGCCGAGAGAGGGAAGGAATTTCATGCTATTATCTGTGATGTGCATTTATTTATGAATGGGGACTAGAGCCGGAGAGATGGTGAAAGACCCTTCCATTATACTGAGTGATTGCAATGAGAAATTAGGTCATACAAATGCATGAAGGGCAAAGAGTAGCCACTCAGTTACATGTATAGACAAGAAATGTTTCCTCTGATCAAGGTTTCATCTTAGGAAACATGAACTTCTCTGCAGCACACCATGTACATGAGGGGGGAGTTTCCCCACATGACTTCATACTAATTACCGACAAATTGTCATACAAGAAAAACTCAGTCCTCTCACGCTCCTTACAACTATGATTAGCATTTTCCTTTCAGACATTAGGAATGACCTTGCTTACCTGGAATTCATTACTCAGCCACCCTGAATAATGTATGGAAGCACAGTGCTCACACGTGGGGTTGTGCATTGCTCAGGTGACTGGCTGCTCATGCACCACCTGAGTGCCTGAGGAACATTTATGGAGAGTTCACAGCAGGCTGGCAAGGCATGAGGAACATTACAAGTGAATGCAGAAGAAATGCAGCTCTTTCCAAGTGGGAAGGCATCAGAAGGTCCAGGATGGCCACATCTGTAGATGGGTGTGCAGGTGCCTTGCATAGCTGTGGATGAAGCTACTAAGGGATGGCAAATATTACGGGAGTCCGCCTGTGTTCCAAAACACAGACATTTCAGCCGTAACACAGGAACTGCAAACAAACTGAAACAAAGGGAAAGAACATCACACTTAACATTTTAAGACTGTTGGGGTGGTAATGTGACATTCTAGGCTGAGGTGTGTTTTAGAGGTGAATTTTAGTGTCACTCAAGTGGGACATGGTTGGAGTGTTTACAGAGGTACAGGCAGCGAGGTGCCATACCCACGGCCCCAGGCAGCTCCTCAATGGCAGCACAACAGACTCCCAGATAAGGGTTTTAATGCTCTTTCCCCACTGTAATACTTGAATTTCTGGAATAATTTGCTGATAGTTCTTCGGTTCAAATTGACCTCCTTTCTGTTCTTTTCCTCTTCAGAGTATTTAGCAGCTTTCTATCTAATTATTTTCCTTATTGTGTCATATCTTCCTGATCCTTCTTCTTCTCTACTCTGTTTCGCAAGTGCCCTGCTTTAATCATCTGTCTGGAAGAGCCTTGAATGTTCCTTGAATTTGTCATGTGTGTCAATCTGAATGATGGCACTTTGAGCTAGCAGCTTCCTCTGTACCACCTATTCTGTCAGCACTAAACTGATTCTAACAATAATCATAATGAGACACTGGGTTTTGGTTGTACAACTTCACAACAAAAGTTGAACACTAAAAATATAGTGTTAGCCACTGTTTTTCACAAAAAAAACCATCCAGAAATGATGCTTCACACATGCAATGGCTAAAAGATTCCACCAACTTTTCCAGTTAACAATTCAGGAACCATCTTCCCAATGCTGTTTTTCTGATTCCTTTCTACTTTTTTTTTGCAGTTTCACTACAGAAAGGATTGCTTACCATAAGCATTAGTGCATTACCTAGTGTGGAAATTGATGACATACTCAGATGACATAATTACATATGACAATCACCTGAATATGCAGTGCCCCACCAAAGTCAGCTAGTATGTTGTCAAGTGAAAATTAATGTCTGTCACATTTACAACTGAAGAAGCCATTTTTGGATAATGAAATGTTTGGTGAAATACTAAAAATCTCAAGGTAAGAATTTTTATTAGCAGCCAATGGAGACAGGAGTCCAGCTTTCCTAAACTTTTGATCCCATCCCAGTGTCGCTCCTCTAAATTTTGCCATCAGTTTGGTAGGGGCAGTATGAAAGTAATGCTTCCTCACAGAGAACATCATTCATAATTTAAAAGGAAATCTAAGCAAAGTGTGATTTATTGCGAAGCAATGTAAGTAGGGCAGCTAGTGAGAGATGCACATAGAAAGTCCAAGATCTGTTGATTTTGCATGTTTAAGAATATACAGAAAGTGTGTTCTGAGAAGTACAGAAATAACAATCAAGAAAAAATAAGCATCTATTACAAATGTGAAATATATGAATAGATGGTGAAAATTGCTTTCAATTTACTTATGCATTAAAACCTCAGCTCCAGAATTTCATTATTTAAGTGTGGGTACTTCTTCAATAGTTTTTAGAAACCAAATGAAAGAGAAAAAAAAAAAAAAAAAAAGATGACAATCCTAACAATTGGAGCACTTTGAAAATATTTGGCTTTTTCTAGCATTTGATCAGTTCAATATGAAAAAAAAAACGAACACAAAAAAGTATCTTTCAACATGTTCACAATAATCAGTACGTTGATATGTGAGCACAGCGACAACCGAAACTAAATTTTCCGGAATAGTTTAACAGGATCCCCAGAACAGCACTATAAAACAACTCTGGGCAAACAGCAATGTCTAGATTGCAATATTCAATCAATTCAAAAACTCGGACTTAGAGGGAAAAAAAAATTGGTAATTCTGAAACTCTTAGGACATTCAGTAGAACAAAAAACAAAAATACATAGAGAAAGGAGAGTATTTAAAAATGGGTATACACTAGCATTTCTAGAGAATCTAAGTTTGTGTGTATTACTGGGTCTATCAAGAATAGTGAGATCAGTAATTGGAAACATACTGGACAAACCAAGTAGACGTATTCTATAAATGAAGGGAAACAGCTTTATCTTGTCTAGCCCACATATATTGAGAATAGAATATTTTAAACACAAAGATGGAGTTAAAGAACAGAAAACCAGTTTTTACAGTTTAGGTAAGGAGCTCCTGAAAATGCAGATAAGCCATAGAGCGGGCAAACCAGTAAGTCCCTCCTGCCAGGCTGTTTGCTAACGCCCTGTAGGAGTCATGCTGTAATCGCTATCTGCTTGCTTTTTAAATAGGAATGTTTAATTGGTTAGGTTCCTTGTAGACTGTTTTTACATTCCCCTGGAAAATGCTGTACACTGATGGACACAAGATACCTCTGCAGAAGGTGCAGAGGTCTGACCTTTGTTCCTTTTAGAGAGAAGTGTGAGCAGGGCATTGGCTCTGACATCAGGAGTAACATCCCACATGGAACTGGTAGGATTTCAGGGATACAGGCAAAGGAAAACTGTCAGAAAGTGACACACTAGTTTTAACTCAAACTATGAAAAGGAAAGGTAGTCATTCACAACTGGAAGTTCACAGTGCAAGAGGATTTGGGCAGACTTGGAATTTAAGCAAATAAGAGAGAAGTGACTTCTAGGTAAAAATAAATACAAACAAATAAAAGACTAGGTACACAAAAATCAAATATGTTAAAGAGTTTTAGGAAGTAATAAACAAAGAGCAGTAACATATGAGAATATTTTATATTAAGAGTTGTACAACTTTTTCTATGTTGTCTAGCTTCCTTCTTTAAAGGAAAGAAAGCAGCTCTATTGACACAGCACTTACATGCAGGAGTCCCACTCCCACTGTCCAGTCAGCAAACAAGCAGATGGTGCCACCTCCATTTCTGCAGTTTGTCTCTTGCTCCTATAAGAGGCATGATCAGGTGTCTGGGAAGATAATGCAACAAACACAAATAATATGTATTCAGAATTCCATACTGATTAGGAAGAGTAGAGAAAAAATGTAGGGACCTGAGAGTGTTCTGAAATTGTTCAACAATGAGGCACCATGACAAGCACAGAAGGCATAAGAGATACACATGTGGCTGCCTGGAACCACAGGAGAGCAAACATTGCAGGGCCACGCTGCCACAGGATGGAACACGAGACTCCAGCATGTACTGGATGCATGCATCATACATATCCTGGTGTCAACCTCTGGGAGAAGCTCCATCTGGAAAACTGTCACAGTCTTCTGACTTCCAAGTAAGCATGAAGAACAACCAGCACTGAAGGACGTCACTCACACGCTTCGTGCAGAAATGTCTCCATTCTGAGCGCTGAGGCAGGTCTGTACACTGGCTGACTGGCCCTTCTGAGGAGCTTCCAGGAAAACAAAATACCAAAATGTTGATTAATTATTGGCTGGGATAGATAAATGCATTGAATGCATTGTAAGTCAGTTTATTACTTTATCCTGAATTACCATTTTAACTGATAATGATAGCAAAGAAGGCATAACTGAGGCAGAAACTTTTTTTTCCAATTTTGAGAAAATGAATTTTTATATATATCCATAGTTTTATGTATATCCATAATTACTTATGTGTAATTCAATCAACGGCAGGGGCTTCTGTCCTTATGAGGTAATTGCTGTATCTGACTTACAACATGTAGATACTCACAATGTGAAATGGTTAGGTTGTTCCTGTCTACAGAATATATTTGAAAGGTGGGTTTAAGCTAAACACTTCTGCAAATGCAATATCCAGAAGGTACTCAGGAATTCTCTACAAAAACAAGTCCTTAGCCTTCAACAAAGCTCCTAGTGTGTGACTGTGGGTATGACAGGTGTGGGACTCTGCCAGGAATGGTGCTGTGCATGCCACTGCTGCTGCCAGTGCCCTGTGCGTGCTCACAGAGACATGGCTCCGTCTGCCAGCAGCTCAGGGTGCTGAGAGATTAAGCAGGCCTCAGAACTGCATCTGAAACCAACCTTCAGCTTTAAATGGGAATACATTAAAAAAAAATCTCATTTTTGGTTATCTCCCATTACTGATTTCCCCTAAATGACAGACTGCAATTAAAAGAAAAATAATGAGACTGGTGAGAATTTAAAACAAAGAGGAAACTAACAGTCTTTGTGCTGCTGGATGGTCAGTCCCTCCACTAACATCTCGCTGCAAGGATTACAGTTGTCTTGCATTTCAGAACACAGGTCAGCACAAGAGATAAGCCTCTTTTTGTCTTATTCATGTCATGGAAATATTTCATTTCAAAGAAATCGCTCTGTGTTTTGGTGGTATGCGGGACCGTCTGTGCTGAACTGCAAGTCATCAATACAGTTTCATGTCAGGGTCTTTTCTTTGACATGAGCCTGTGACTATCAGTAAATCTGTGCTCCCTAACTCCTAGCCTGGGTCTCTTCCACCCTGGTTTGCACCTTTTTCCCTTCCTGGAGCAAACTGTGCTTCCTGGGAAGCGCCACCCTGCGCACATAGCCTTCAGATGAACACAAGAGCCCAGAAGGAGAAGGGCAAGTAGGGTGTTCCAAAAAAAAAACCTGAAAATTTACAAAGCAGCTGCCAATTAGCCAGACCTTAATTTTGCAAATTTATTTAGGAAAAGGAATTAACATGAGCAAATGAGAATACCTCAGTGTTACAACAGAGTATATAAATGTCTAGCAATAGTCAAATAATTTGATCTTTAAATACAAAATAACCACATGAACACCTAATATACAGGTTTCATCTGAATACATATTTATTAGATAAATATTAGGTTGTCACATCATCTAACTACATACAGTTTTGCAAGACTAAAAATCACAATTATTTTTTCTGACCAGTTTAAAGTATGAAATGATTGCATTGTACTGTACATACAATGTACAAACAAAGACAATGGCCATTTTTGCGTGTTACGTCAGATTGTACTTTTTTTTTTTTTTTTTAATTCCCCTCTAATCGCGATATCAAAAATTGTACAAAGTATGAATTTGGTTACAATTTACTTTTTTTTGTAATCCCCTTATTTTTCTTCATTATTTCTGTAGCACCCTAAAAATACACAGGTGATAGACTAGTACACGTAAGCTAAATATTACATGTAGATAAAACAAAACAAAACGAAGGATCAGAGTATATTACAGAAGTGAAAGTGAAACGAATGCCGAGACTCCACAAACGCTAACAAACAGGATTCATTTTCCACATAAGATGGAGCTTCAAGCTTTTTTTTTTTTTTTCCTGCGAAATAAAAACAATGCACATTCCAAGGAAAATGAATGCATTTCTGTTAACATGTCTCTATTTGTCATTTACATATGTACAGATGTCCCTTGAGTCTCCGCTGCAGACATTGGCGTGTATCTGTCAGTCCTATAATAATGTCTTGCCAGCAGAACTGTAGATTTCTGTGGGTTCTTTCCCAGATGAACTTCCATAGGGAAACAATTAAAAAGTAAGCAAACAAAAAAAGAAGAATAAAAATACTACTGGAATTTCATACAATAATTAAGCTTTAAAAGAAATGACTGTGATTACCCTATTTGCTAGGTTTTTCCTCTAAACTTTAATACGGCAGTGAACAGATAAAAAAATAACTAAATTTTCATTTAGAAGCTTTTCCATACTGAATCTACTATACAGTACCTGATTTTAGCTGACATAGTTTCAAAACTGTCTCGTATGTCCAACATTTGGGTGATGGGTAAAAATCGTGTTTTCGATCGTAAGTTCTGCTTAGAAACCAAACGCTTCTCTAAGCTCCAACGTGTCAACCATCCACTTTAATGCTCTATTACTGAACAAAGCAGATGCAAACACTGCTCCAAACATATTGCTAATATCTATGTGGGTTTTTTTTTCCCTTTATTCTTTCCAGCAGGTACTTTCAGATGATACATTTTAAATACTACCGGTTAGCAAAAAGTCAATTCTTAACATACCTGGTTTAAAATACTAACGTTGTGTTTAAGAGAAAAACAATTTCAGGTGGCTAACTTAGCTGCTCAGGAAACAATGGAGAGTGGATTAAATAGAATCAATTAAAAAATCTGAGCAACCCATTCCATCTAGTACTGAGAAATGTTCTTTATTCCAAAACCTATGGCTTAAGAAACTTCCCCCAAAATGAAACAAAACAAAATTCTAAGGGCATAACGTCAGTTTATCATTCACCACCCCTGAACATGACTTCAATACATATATGAACAATGCAGCAAAAATACAGGGGAAAACTACTACAGTAAAATGGCTACAAAACACATCTGTAACTGAAGAATGGTCTTTCCTAGCGTTGGCGTGGCAGCAGCACCACACCACAACCATGTTACCATGTATCATACCAAGGTATCTTTAATATTCTGCAGAGATCCTCTACAGGTTGTCAAGCCTACATAAGAAAAAAGACACTTCTAAGCAGAATAAAGTGTACTATACTGTTTCCCTCCCCACCCACCAGCATCCCTTCGTGTTAGTGTGCCCAGCTCTGCAGGCTGGAACACCAGCACAGTGATATAAATACGGTACCTTACGTACTCGCTGCTTGCCTTAGTGCTTCTTCACCCGTTCAGACAGCTGCTCCTAGGTGTCCTGCTCATTGGGGCAAAGGGACAAAACTTCTGCTGTCACCAGCCCACAGGCACCACACGGGCAGGGAACATCAGTTGGTTGGGTGATGGGATTTTTGCCCTAGGCAATCACTTCTTACTGTGTTTCCATGACAGAGCTGGGCCCTGATTGTCCAGGTACTGTCTGACATATCAATTCATTCATCAGGTAAACAGAAATGAAGTTTGGGCTAATTTTTCAAAAGAAAATGGGTTGGGGGAGGGGAGAGGGGGCGGGGAGGGGGAAGGAAAAAAAAACCTCCCTTATTCTGTTAAAGAACCCTCAATGTTTTGTTTTTTTTTTTTTGTTTTGTTAAAAAAGGACCCATATATTTTTTTCAGACAAGGTATTTAAAAACACCAGCAAAAGTATAATCAGATCATGAAAATGTTGAATATTATCAAAGACGATACTAAAATATTCACAAAGATATTTACAATAGCAATTCTTAAAATAATTGATTTTGCATAATGAACAGCGCCTTTCTTAAAAAAACTCGAAACAGGAAAAATATAAGTGTGGGACCATCTCTACATAATATGTTTGACAGATTCAATACTTCTACTGGAAAATAAAAGAACTAAACCGCCATTTCCTTTAATATCTACAGCAAGGTGCTGCTGACTAGCATATATATATCACGACGCATGTACAGCAGTAGTGGGAAATGTTAACAAAGAGCAAAATAAAACAAGAACTGCAAAGAATTTACAAACATGACTTTGGTGAGGAAAGCAAATCCAGAGTTGTAAGCACATAGCATGCCATTTACAGCTTGCAAACTGAACATAGAGGGCTAGGAAACTCTAGTCAAACAGATGGGAACAAACAAAATTTGTCTGGCACTTAAGTTTAAAATGCGTTGTGGCGAGCAAATAAAAGTTACTGGATTGGGTTTGGGATGAGGAAAAGAGTAGGTCAAATTTGCTTTAGTAATAAAAAGAAATTAACCAATAACTCTACAGTGGGCAAAAGCTGAAATGTTGCACCACGAGGGCAAAGTTGGCACACATGCACTTCTTACACAGCTACTGTACATAATTTATAAAAGAGAGAGAGAGAGACAAAGAGCACAGAAATGGGCACAGAAGCAATAGGAAGCTCATGCAGGAGAAGCAACCACACGAGAAGCACGGATCACAGGGGCAAGACAGTGATTGTGGCATTAGGGTCTCTTGAGGGCAGCAGCAATCTACCAAGTCAATTTTCCTCCCCATGCCCTTTCCTTCATGAGAACAATTTCTTCCTGGTACCTAAGGTTTAAAAAACAAAACTGAAGGAGGAGAAAAGAAAGTTTGAATTATTTGTAACAGTCATGAAAACAGAACGAAAGGAAAACAAAAAATAAGCTATGTCTATTCAATTTCAATGCCCCTTTTCAAGCTGATTATGAAAAATAATTATGCAGATCGTGATGTTATTCTCCCTCATCCTGCAACGATTTCCTATCCGCCTTTGACCTAGCCTGTCTTATTATGTGTTGTGCAATACACACAGTGATGCAAACGCTCAGGAAGCAAAGGCTGTAAGTTAATAATTGAGAGTGTTTTGGTTTGCATTCCCCCCTCCCTCTCTTTTCCATTCTGTATGGATTAAATGGCAAAAAGACCACTTACAACAATCTCGACAGTCGGGTGTCAACGCAGCCACAAACGGTAATGATTTGAAACCAAACCACAGAAAAACCCTAAACATTGAAAGTATTTTTTATTTTTTCCATGTGTTTCCAATGTGTGTGTTTGAACAGAGGAATCCTTTGCAAAGAAGTGTTTAAGATTCCTGAACTTTTCTAAGTCCAAACACACGCGGCTGCGGCCTGGAGATGCTCAGGACTCCATTACTGACAACGTGTTTACTAAACTGCTCTCACCTTCTTGATGGGCTCGTATTTCTTCCCTACCTTTGCCATTTTACCGTACGATTTGTGCTTTCTGGAGCTTTGTTTGTGTTTTTGTTTTTCGTTTTGTGTGTGGCCAGAAAAATTACTCCAAAACAAACTTGTGCTTGGAGAGGGACAGAGGAGAAGCAGGGTGGAGGGAGATGGTTTCAAAAAAAATGGAAGAACACGCATTGGAAGGACACTCTGAGACAGGTCAATTAAAGACAGTTCCATTTTGTTGCCTTTTCTTCCCTTGCCAAGATTTGTTTTTGCCAAGATACTTCACACTATGTTTATCACAGAACTCTCTCTCTATAGGATGAACAACAAACAGGGTTTCCAATAGCTGCACAACTGTCTGTGTTTTGTTGTGACACGTAGCACGGCGGACTCTGAGATTACTGCAGTTTTTTGTGTATTTTTTCTCCCGGCACTTTCGCAGTTTTTGAAGCTGACAAAAGCAGTTCTGAGATGAAGAAAGCAGGGAGTGCACCACTGGATCAACTTGTGAGGTGTTTTTTTTCTTCTTTTGTGGAAAAGGAGTGTTAAGATTCCTCGCTGTGCAGCCACACGTGTGAACAAGTGAAAGGGATGGGGAAATACACATGGGTTCAGTTGTTCTCAAAGAGAGACAGAAGGTCATCATTGCTATTGCTTGGCAAATCAGGAGGATCCAGGTATGAAAGCAGCTCATCTGGATTTGTGAGTTCTGGAAGCAGCTATAAAATATAAAGATAAAAGGAAAATTACAGATAACAGAAATACAGTTGTGAAAAAAAGGGATTAAACACCATACAGTCCAGGAAACTGGCTTTCATATAAATATACTGAAATGAATCTGACAGCAGTAATGCTGCCTAACACCCTAAGGTGATGCAGTAGCCACTTGTTTGTGAAAGTCTGTATTACTCAACTTCCCCATCACAAAGCTTATCAATAAACAAGGTTTAATTCCTGCCTAGTGATGCTGATAAGACCTGCTTGATAAATGCCAGTTACGTAGGTTAGTTTCGTGTAGAACACTGAATGTAAACTTGAACCATGCAGTCATGTAAGACTTATTTGATCCTTAAAGTGGATCAACAAAGCCTGGTGTATGTGACTGGCAGGCAGCAGCGTGGTGACTGCTTTAGGCCTGCATCTCTACGGAACGAGGCTGCTGTGTCCATCCCTTCCTCGTGCATGGACACACAGGCTGGGCAGAGAGCTGAACTGGAACTCACCAGATTTTGAAACTAATCCAGACCAAAAAAAGCCCCCAGATCAAAATTAAAAAAACGCGCTAAGAGTCTTAAGGTAAAAAGTAAAAGTATTTATAAACTGACAGGGAAGAGTTTGTAATAAGCTCCCGTTATATTCAGCACTGTGTTGAGGCCAAGACAGAAAAACATGGAATAATTAAAAAACCATAACAATAAGTACAAGAAATTCATTTTAAATTGTTCTGTGTTTTCAAATACTATGAAAGTAAAACCTTGACTGCATCACATTTAGCATACAAGTACTATATTTATATGCTTCTATATGCTCAAATGGATGAACATATTTTTAAATAAGCTATACATGAAACAAAGAAGGAAGTTTATTACTTCCTAAGCATTATTAAAAAAAGAAAAAGAAAAAAAAAGTCTGCATAAACAAAATGTTTCTGAGAGAATGTTTTTCATAAAACACCTCCTTCTTTTATACATAGTTTTAACTGCTGTTGTCATATTGCTAGACTAAAGATATACAGCTTTTAAATGCATTTTACCTGCTAACGTAGTTTTCTGAATATCTAGTATGGGACAAGAAGAAAACTGCGGCCTCACCATATGTTTAGAAAGTAACAAATGGTTGAATGGATAGTCCAACAGATAGTCCACAGATAGTCCAACTCAATTCTTAAAAAATTAACATAATGTGTTTGAGACTCATTCTTTTATACAGAGGATTGTTTTTTTGTGTTTTTTTTTTTTTTAGAAAGGTGAAAGTTTAAAACAATATGCTCGTTAACAATGCTGTCTTCTGAATTTTGAGGGTGTATTTCGTATGATGAAGTAATGGCAAAAATTCAAGACTAGAATATTTCTAAGACTTCTCAAAAGAGAATTGTCCAGTTTTTGCTAGTTAAGGCATATTTTGACACAGTCTCAAGGAGAAAAAGGGTAAAGGGGAGGAAATCCTGAAAACAAGAAGAGCATTTCTGAATGCTGGGGTGTCTCCCTGCATGCAGGCCTGTGCAACACACGGCCCTCGAGCTAGGAGCCGGCACTGCAGCTTGGCCGCTGATGTGTGGGGATCCTCACGGCAGCCCCTCGCAGCAAGAGGCAAATCCAAGGACTCAGCTGAGAGCAGTACTGAGCCAGGAGGGAAGGATGGAGGGCTGAGAGGGGCAGGCACTGTGAGGGTGTGTTGGACTTGTCAGAATTTTGAGAGGGTGCTCCTGAAGCGATACTGTAGTGCTCTCACCAGGCATCTGCGCCCCGTGTCTCTGCTGTGTGTGGTGTCAGGGTGGGTCATCTCCATCTATATGAGGTGTACCCTTCTGCCTGGTTAAGCACTGCACTGAAGCATTAATGAATGACCCCATCTGTGCCAGCAGGCAGTGGGCCCAGCTGCCCACAGTGCATTTCCCAGCTTGGTTCCAGCTCACAGTACTGCATGGTGCCTTGCTCAGCCTGGTTCCACAACAGTCCCTGACATCATTCATCTGAGTGTGACTGAGCTCACAGATATTTCTAAGCTCTATGCTCTCCACACTGCACAGCGCCTGCTTCACTCAGCTATGGCAATTTCAGTGTCACACTAAATGCCTCCATCAGCCATACTCAGAGTACTGTAACGTATATTTTCTTTTCACCGAGCAACAATTGCCTGACCCATTACAGTGTACAGTGTTACTTAAATACCTGAACAAAAAATGAGATTTTTATTTCACCTAGTGCTATTACTCATATGGCATCCTTAAGGGCTCAGACCTCCGGATGCCACATGACCCGCAGCTCCTGAGGGATGTGCCATGGCCATGCTGTGTGACAGACACAGCCTGGCTCCAGCACAGGCACTGCTCACTGAGGGCTTCTCCCAGTGCCTGGAGCTCGCCTTCCCCTGCAAGGCTGCCTGATGGCACAGTGCTGTCATGGGACAGGGAACAGGCACGCACACAATGACAGCACAGACAGGTATAAACCTGAGGCACAGAGTGAACACTTCTCTCAGAAAAATACATCGTGCGGCAGACTTTGGACCAGACAGAAGATACAAGTACAGGAATGCACGACTTAAACGAAAATCCAACTCTAGTGCTAAGAAATATAACCTTTGGAAGGTGAGTGGTTGACCAGAGGGATGCCTCAGGTAGCTCACTCCCAGCACCAGCAGTGGGTGGCTGCAGACATTGCTTCTGTCTTTAACACTAGGCTCATCTTCATTTAGTCACATGCTGCGCTCAACCTTGGCTAAGGAGGCAGAAGACGTCCTCGTTGTTCATTTGAAGCACTTGCACGGCATGGAGCAGGACACGTGCTGCTGAGTGCCGGTGGCAGGGCCCAGAGCCAGGGACGGACCCCGCTGCCACGCACCGCGAGGCCGAAGCTGAGCCAGCACACAGCTCAGCGGGCACCACGCGGCCCAAGCCCGGCCCATACGCGGCTGCCTCCTTCTAATCTGGAGGCTGCAGCGGCTCCAGGGCCTGGGCTCGTGCACACGAGTGCCTTCATCCGGCAGCGAGGGGATGGGAGATCTCTCTGTGCAGACACTCGACCTGCTGTCTCGAGAGAAACCTGCCTGCCTACTCTGAGGAGGACACGGCTGGCACGTCATACAGCTTAAAACAGAAGAGTTTCCACAGCAAGCCAGGAGCGCCCTGTCACCTCAGCTGCAGTGACTACGCCCATGTACCCAAGCATGAGACGATGGCATGTGCTGTGGAAGCGGCTCCCCATCCCCGCACCCACCCCGCCCTCCCGCCGCCATGTCAAGCACACGCTATGGCAGGCAGATGATAGTATGACACAGACTTACATCCAGCGAGGGCTCCGGCATGTCAGGTGCTCCCTGTCCACCAGCCTGACCCTCTAAGGCTGAGGAGGGATTAAAGGTCAGGTCACTGTGTGGATGGTTGCCAGAAGCGGCCGGGGGCGGCTGCCGGGACTGCTGGCTGGGAGGCCCGCTGTGATGTAATGGCTGCCCTGACTGGCTGCTGGGGTGAGGGACGTGCAAACCTTGCTGCATGGAAGTATGGGACTGATCAGTGCTGCCGGGATGAGGGATCTGCGGAGGAGGAAAAAAGCAGGAAAAGAAAGTGAGGCCACAAGGTACAGTGCTCGCAGTGCCTGACTCTGTAACCGCATGTTAAAAAGAAACAACGAAAATGAATTAAAAAGACCAAAAAGAAAAAAAAGAAAAAAAAGGAAAAAAAGCATAATTGGAAAAGAAAGCTCCATATCCCAATGCCGAAGGAAATGTTTTGGCTTTTTGGAGGTCATTTGCTAAGGGGAAATAAAGACACTGGGTTTGTACTGCTGCATTTGCTTTGCTGTAATGTGGGAAACTGGCTGAAGGTGCAAATCAAGCAGCCCACGATGTTGAGGGGGGCTGATGGTGCTGCTCAGCATGAGCCAGGCAGATGCTCTGCCCTTGCAAAATTTCAGAAATGAATGGAGAATTCATTGAATAATAATCCCTGTGCCAGCAAACTGATTAACTGAGAAAATGCTTAAGTTCTGCTCAGATTCCTCATTGGGTAGCTTCCCTGACATTGCTACCTATTCTTGTTTCAGCTTGTTATAAACATCTGGCAAATGCCAGCCCTTCCCTACGCCATCCTCTATTTTATTTTCATCCATCTTTTGAGAATGCAGCATCTCTTTTAAGGGATTTTCTTAGCTGATGGTTGAAAAAACCAAGTGGACTTGGTTAGCCAAGCTCCCAGCCACCCACAGAGCTGCTGGAGGTGGCCACATACCTGCTGACACCCTGTGAAATACAACGCATTATTTTAAATTAATCAAAGATCATGCAACAGAATGCATTTTTATCTTCACATGGCAAATTCTCCAGCAAAAACTTTGTATTTTCTAGGATTTCAATGGGGAATAACCTACCAAACCATATGCGTCTTTTAAACCATATTATGGAAGAATGGAGGAAAAAAAATATCTTTCTCACATTACAGAGAAGCAACAGAAATGCACAAACCCACGCTACATGTCATCTTTAATGCTAGTGGACTCTTTGGGACTTGACCATGGTGCCACAAGAAAAATGAGTGTGAATGCCTTAAAATTGTTTCATGTTAATTGGGTATATGGAGAAGCAAAAAATGTAAACATTTTTTGAGAAATGCTACATTGCCACACAGTGGAGCTGAAACAAAAGAACAGATACGTACAACAACAGCATGAAATTCATCCAGCCAAGCCAACAGAAACTGGCAAAATGCTATGTCACATGTCAGCATTGACCCTTTCATATCACAGTAAACTGCAAGGTTATTTTAACCTTAATCTTCAGTTTTGGAAAGCAAAAGGGAGGTTATTACAAAACTTAATTAAAATATTCCAAGATATTAAGGAAAAAAAATCACAGAAACAAGCATTTTATAAAGAAACATTTTTCCACTTGCACGAAAACTGACATCTGAACAGTGATACAATGGGACACTCATACTCAGCTACATGGAGGTCCTTTTCAACAGTTTGGCAGTAGGAATGTTGGTGGAAATTAGCAGGATTCTACATGTAAAGTGTTTTTGTTTCTCCTTCCTATATGAGACTTTAAAATAACTGTTACAAAGTACTGCTGCACACTTTTCTCTCCATTAGGGTCATAATTTGACTACCTGGAAGGTATTCTGTAACATTATTGTTGTTACCTTAAAGGTAAACCTGTACAAAATCCGCCCATAGACCACAGTTTAATGTAAATGAATATACAGCCTAAGTCTTTGCAAGTGAAAGTAGATGCCTGTCCAAATAGTATCGTTTCCTTCTTCGTTTATTGAGAACACGTGCAACAGGAACTGTGCAAAGTAAGAAAGCTTAATAATAACAAAAAGTAAAGAGCAATTAAAGACAGTGTTGCTGAAGTGGGAAAGTTGTTTCTAGAAAATGAAACAAAATAGGATCATCTTGAAAACTCTCTCATATTTATCCCCAAATGCACATGGCAATTGTCACGCTGGTGTGCTTACAGAAGAAATTATTTAAACAAAGAGGCATATGTTTCAGCTATATTTCAGAACAGATAAACAGGTTAGAAATTCTATACATTATGTTTCCATATACTAACATTATATAAATATTTTGTTGATAAGGCAGTATCTTGAGCAGAGGTAACTGTTGGACAAGGACCCATTGCTCATTATAAGACTGAGGGTTATCAAAATCTTAAACAGCCAACACAGCTTCAAAATCCATCTGACAGCATTCATCCAGGCCTGCCCATGACAGAGTAAATGCTCAGGACTATTTTTCTGTCTTTATTCAGCTGAGTAATTATGAATTAATTACCACTGGTTAAAACCCTCTACACGTACGACACGTGGGTCTCCAGCTCATGCCTGCAACTTGCACTGTTTTATTTCAAAAGCACTAACTTACATTAGGAATGCTTAGTCTAACAAAGTTGCCACTGCTTACATAGCAAGGTAATTCAGAGTTGTTTTTAGGAGTGTAAACTGTGGCACTCTTAAAACATTTACAATCTGTAAAAGGAAAGTTTATAGCTGACACAACTACATCTACTGTTTAATAGCATAAAAGCACAATTCTTTATGAGTCAGTCTAAGAGTGACCTCTAGGAGTGCTGAGATGAACAGCAACAGAACGATATTCTGCCAGCTGCAGAACAATATTCCTTTCATCTCAGGAGAAAATTGATAGTGAAAAAAAAGATCATTAGGTTAAGTCAATTGTTTATATATCTCTCCACTACGGAGGTCACAGACTCACCAACTCTTTGAGCTGTGCTAAATGGCAGAACCATGGAAAGATGCTATCCTGCCCTGCCGCTGCTATCTGCCACGTTTCCCATCCTTTTTTCCTTTGCCATTGCATACATCCTTGCAAACTCAGCAGGTGGACTATCACAGATGAAAACCTCCCCCATATTTGTTTTCAATTATATCAATACCATGTGCAAATATCATGCATTTCTCTAAAAGCAGCAGTTTTAAAGCTATCTTTCCTGTGTGTTTGCTGCCAAAAAACAGTTCCCTTCTGAGAGAGAAGAACGGAAGATAGAAAAAACAGAGGAGCGAAGCAGAGACTTTATAATATTGACAAAGTTCTGCTAGAGTACTATCAGTCCACAAAAGTGGCCTAAAAACTGTATGGCCAAATTGGCAAGGTCAATCTAATTCTGTTGTGCAAAGAGATGTTACAACTGATCCTTATTAGTGCAAATCACCCACTGACATAAGCCAGGTGGAGTCTGCTTTAGTGCTACTTCCCTTTCCCAAATAGCATAACTTGCATATAATAATAGAAGAGGGAGAAGCAAGGCAAAGGTTTACTTTAATTGCTATCTATCATAAGCAAGCATTAGATCTGCTACAGACTGACCCACAGAATCAAAAATTTATTAACGTTTGCCCAAATACTCTCTTACAGTTCTGCAGTATGCATAGCCTCGAGCAACTTTTAACTCTGCTATTATCTGTAAGGAGTCCAATTTTCAGAAAACCACAGATTCTTCACTTTCATATTCAACCGCTTCATATCCTACCACTTCAGAGATTTCACTAGGGCAACTGCTATAGCAAAGGTAAAGCGGTTAACCAATGGAGTGGAAATGTAGGTGTCACAGAATGGGAGGTGCAGAAGAATTCCCTGCGGCTTTGGTTCAAAGGACAGCAGCTGTGAGTGGTAGCAATTCTCCTCACTACTGCGTTCTCATGCTGTACAGTTGGTTCAGATACAGATACTCAGGTTGCTCATTAAACTGATATGTAAAGTTTGCCAAAGTAAAATTAAATTTACAGCATGCTAGTTCTATCCTTTATTAGCCTGTGAAGTGGTAAAGCCATTACAGTTTCTGTACTCTTTCTTTGCAGACATTTTTCTCACTTGGGATCTGTCCAAGCTATACTAAGAATGCTCTCTCCGTTCCCTTCCTATTTCTCACCATCCTCCTCGGAAAATCCACTGCCAGCTAGAGGAGACACTGACTGAGTAGGCTTTTCCTAAGCATCTGCTACCACATATCCTCATTACACTCTGAAATAGTACTTTCTAGTGCTCAATGAAGACACAGCACAGATGACTCGTCAAGTTAAACATCCTTCCTGTGCAGTAACAGCACGCTATAAAGTCCCTGCCCTGTAACTTAATTGAATATAAAAGGATATACACACACATATACCACACAGAGTTAAAATAAATGACTAGCCATGCCTAAGAGCTAAACACTGCTTGTAACTTTTCTATCATCTTGTTGCTGCAGTACCGCATCATCTAGATGTAAAGTTCTATATATAAAACTTGTTTCACTGAGCAAGCTGCTTTTCTAATGAGCAGTTCTGCCTTTCCACCTGAGACCTGAGGAACCTCTGTTTTTTAAATCTATTACATTGGTGCACCCTCAGACCAGCAGCAGTATCTCTCCTTGAAATCTACAGGTTTGTCCTATTCACAACAGCTTAAAGGTACGTTTTATTCTACTTGGATAGAATCCCTCACAAAATGCTTTGATGCAAACTTTGACCTCAGAGACAAAGTCAGGGAAGACACTGTCCCTGCTCAGTCAATGTCTTGCTATAACAAGCTGTCTGCTGAAGATGGACATTCACAGATACTGCTGGCTAGTTTTTTCCAGGTGTCAGAGGAAAGCACAACGATTAACACAAGTACACTGAGCCAGGTTGTTTCTTTCAGATAAACAAGCTTAATCAGCAATTAAAAAAATCCTTAAAACATTTCTCCACAAACTTGAAAAGGCCAGAAACTAAAACTGACATTCCTGACAACATTTCTCAGTGCTACTCTATTTCAGATGCTGCCAAAGTTAGGATTCCAAAACAAGGAAAATCAAATCACAAGGAAAGTCCATTCGCCTGACTGGAGCATCTTACTCCTGCAAAGAAAGATCTATGTCTGCAGCACCATTACTTACAGATTCCTGCATAGGGTGACTGAGAGGTTTGTCGAGAGCTGCCATGCTGCTTGGCATGTCTGGGGGATGTGACAGCTGTGGCCCATGCATGAAATCATTCATAGATGTTCCACCAGGATTCCCGTGCGGAAAATCAAAATTGCCATGACCTTGGTAACTGTTACCTGAAAGACAAGCAGATATGATACAAAATAATTTTTATATTTTTCCTGACACTGATCTTTTAGAGTCTTGTAAAAGCTGCACAGGGCTGTATCTCCCATGCATAGGACGGGAGAACGTGACAATGTTGTGCTCCCCACTGTAGAGGCAGCTGAAGGAATATGGAGGAAAAAATGTCATTTGGCTTTCATGTATTGGCTACTGCTGGGAACATTAAAACTGATTGCAGTAATTCATGTACCTTGTGAAAATAACTGAAACCTCCTGACACTTAGAAAAGCTGCTGTTAAGTCACTAATTAAACTTAAGCAAGATGAAAAGTCAGAAGAATCAGAGTGAAACTGACTCGCTGCCCAAGCACAAATTATATATAGGACACCTGTGTTATTTTTATCTACATTTCCATGCACTAAGGAGGACTGTAGCTTTGCATCAGTTTCTGACAAAGTTAATTGACAGAGCTGTATCAAGAAGATGCCAACATGGATGCTGCACATTCATTTCACCTCTTCTTTCTCAGTATAAATAGGCAACTTCTGTTGAGAGAATGCAGAAGAGGCCTTCATGTCTAATTATGGCTTATGATGTAATTCCCCTTGCTCCCACGAAACCTAATAACATGCATTCAACTGTTGGGATATACATCAATTTTCCCTTTCTGGAAACACCTACCCTCAATTTCAGAGCTACAAGTTGCTTGCTCGCATCCTGTGTTTCAGATGTGGATACAGGCATTCACAATGAAAAATGAGCAAATTTATGAAATGTAACTTTGGATGAAAAAGATGTTCTCTAGAACATCAAAATTCCATAACAATTCAGAATCAGGTTTTAACCCTCACACATCTACTGTTCAGCAACAAGCCTGAGGCCCTCTGCTCAATTTCAGGACAAGTGTGTTTTGATCCCTTTCACCTCAGCCCTGTGAGCGTTACTATAATTCTGCAGTAAGCATGCATCATAGTACAGGGGATTTATTTTCACAATTCTTTTCTGTTCTGATCCCTCTGTTGCCACTTTCATTTGAGATACCAACTCTGTTGGTTTATCTGCTCTGAAGAATTAGGACTGGACCGAATCCATTGAGCTATTTTTTTTTTTTTTTATATGTGACCTAACTGCATGATGCTGAACTCAGAAACAATAGAATAGTTTTAGAACTTGAACAGAGTACTTGAAGTTTCTCGGCCGGAATACAGCAGCTTTAAATGGAAGAAGTCAAGAAGGGAGTTCAAGAAACCAAAGTAGCTGCAACATTTGCTCTCCAGTTTCATAAGCAGAAGCTTAATCTCAGAGGAATAGAAGTCATTAGCCATGTAAGAGTATTTCTCAGAGAAGTCAGGTCTTTGATCTACCATGTAAATACCACAGAGCCTTACTAATTCCCATTTTGCTAATCTGCAAACTGGATAATTCTCCCAGAATGTAACTGCTCTTGCCTCACTTCTCAGGAAAAATTTAATAAGCTCTTGTATTTCCAAGTACTTGCTATATTTACAAACTATACTTCAGTATAATTACAAACAAAACTGCAGTAATAACACTACTACTTTTTTTCTAGAATGTTGTCAATCAGAGGACATCACCTAATTCTAAAGGCTAAGTTTCATTGCACATACTGATAGAGAATAAAAACACAATGCCCAGGCATTTACAGCCATGCAGAAATACACCCTTCTCTGGGGGAAGAGTTATGCCATCTGCTGAGGGACACACCTGTGAAGTCATTTAGGATAATCTGGTCATTGCAACTGATACGTGTGTTGCAGCAGAGGTACAACAAAATGGATTTCACATGATGAGCTGAGGCTCTGAGCAGCAATGCCTAACTCTCCTACAGGATCTCAGCAGAAGGGAGGGAAATAACAGTCCAGGCAACAATCACTAAAGAAACCCTAAAACCCAGTTTACACAACTACTGTGTCCATTCCTGAGTAAAGGAGCTAGAAAGATGATGAAGAAAAGATGGCTCTGTTCTCATGTTCTGACTGCATTTTACTCCTACTTAACAACTGAAAAATTTGTGATTCAGTGCTCTTGGCTTTGTTATAGTAATCATTCATCTGTTTGAAAACCTGGAAAGTTTTATCATCTGTCACCACTTTTGCAGTCATTGGAGCAAATGAACCACATTTTGCATGCAAGATACATTTTTCTTCAAATGCCTGCAAAAAGCACATATATCACCTTGTAATCAATTTGAGGATTCTGATGGTGTGAACAGTTGGTCTTTTCTCTGAGCTGAACTGAGTCATATCTTATTTCTTGCAAAAAGAACAGTCTCTGGTTTCATATTTTCAGAATTGTCAGTATAATTTAGTTATTCAAGTATCCTAGTCATTTGAAAAGGTATTTCCACTGCTTGGATTTAGTTCTATGTTTCTCAAACTGGCAGTACATAGACAGGATCTCAGAAGTCATTATCTAATGCAAAGGTGTTTGCAAAGCAGCTAAAAGTTTCTGATTGATCCTTGAAATGTCAGCCACCTGCCCAAGTGGCAGGATTAATGACTCAGGTCTGCTACGTAGTAAGTAATGTAGCAGGAGGAGCTTTCATTAGAATGAGAGGTGAACAGAAGGAAAATGGACAGAAAAAATGAGGAAAGATGTATATTGTGGCAAGCCATGAATACATAAGGGAACACACAGTGCTCACTGATTTAGAGAGAGCTGCATTGGCAGTCACCAATTGCTTTACTAAAAGATATTTCCTCTAACCAGATGAATCTTATATAAAAAGTCTTACGCAGAATTTCAGAACTGCAGCCACATATATTTTGCTTTCCTTTTGTATGTCCATGAGAAGGTGCAACGACAAACCTGCATAACAAAGGAGGCTGCCTGACTCACTGACTTCGAGAGAAACAATTTGTGTGAACAATGATGTAAAACCTACCTTGGTTTCCATATTCGGTGGAGTTGTTGCCTCCCGGAGGAGGTGGGAGGGATGGGTAAGGTGATGGCCCAGGACCCAAAGCTGCAATCATCTCCATCACATTTGGCATGATCATCTGGCTTGGACTCATGGTCTTAAATCTTTTGGAGGGAATGCCATCTGGGTCATCTTTGATGTGAATATCTGACTTTATAGGGACTGGCCTCCAACTGCAAGTTGGATCAATGGTAACTTCTTCAAACTCTGAGCTGTAAAATAACATGAGAATTTTAGCACATTAATTGCTCTTCTGTTTTCTATCAATTCTGTTGATATTTCCCTAAGAAACTGATGGTAACAAATGTTTTTAAATGTTCTAGTATACACAACCTCAAAATCTTTCACTCCTCAAGTGTGTGCTGAAAGCAAATTTTAGAAAAGGCAACTGTGAGAGCACATTTCTATTTATATCCTCACAATGGAATCCAAATGTATCTACATGATCTGCTACATGTGAATCAGAAGGTCTCCTTCTAAACACGAGAAAACATTTCATCCTCCATTCTCATCCTTCCTTCTGCTTCACTGATGAGGTTGTCATCAGGAGATGACCCAAACAAGATCTATTAAGTAGGCAGAAAGAGACACACACACTAATATTAGCTACACTCACAGATATTACTAGCTTCACCAAGAAGCCATGAAACAGAATATTCAAGTTCAATCATTAACACCTTCTTTGGCATGACTGCCTCAGCACTCATTAAAATATCTCCCAGTTACTTAGTCTTGGATATCAGAAATATCAATCACTTACTTCTGTATAGCGTTGAGAATACCCCACATGTACTGGTCAACCTCCAACCCTTCCAGCAGAGCAGTTTTACTAGAAAAGGAAAAAAAAAACAAAGAAAAAACCAACTCCTTCATATTAGAATATATCTTTATATACTCTCTCTATATAGTTATATAAATATTTTATATATTTAAAAGAAGGATGGAAGAAGGTTAGGTTAGTGACGTAATCAGCAGTGTAAGATCTACCAACTATCTCTTACAAGTAACTTATAATGACTAGGGAGAAACAGCTTCAGTTCTACATCTGCTTTACAAAGATAATAGTTTTTTAAATCAAATAGGTAAGATAAGGATACATGCATACATACATATGTGGATCTGTATATGCCCACAAACTGTTCACATCTTTTAAATTGTTGATTTTATTGAACCATATTTCACATATAAAGTCTCTTCAAGCACAGTAGATCTTTCCTGTGATCATCTACAACTACTAATTTTTAAAAATCGCATCTGTGCTGTTTTCTTGAACTATGCAGTAATATGTCTTCAAATTAACTGTGTATTAGAACTGTTTTACATAGCACAAATGGGGACAGAACAAAACTAACAGAAATGAGTTAGTTACATCGGCTCTAAGATCAGAATGCAGGTGCTCATACTTAGAGAAAGAGGATACAAATTTTAGCCTGAATATATCAATACATAAACTATGAAGCAACTGCTATCTTTTAAGACATCCAATTCTTATTTTTAGCCAAACTCAAAAGATTAAAATGCTTGAGGTAGTTCAGAGAAATCATCTGAGCTTTAGGATAGCTATGAATCACAGATGGTCAAGCTTATCTCAAGTCTGTGATGTTCACAGAAGCAGATAAAACGGACAATGGCCACATCTATTCAATAGATAACGTTGGCTGACACAACCAGGACTGAAGAGGAGATGGGCAGAGGTGCTTGCAAACTGCTACAGCTACAAATGCCTGAGCTTAAGAGCACTGGCTCTCAGCTGAGGCTGTAACCAAATCATAACCACGTGCACTAAGCACAGAAGGTTACAGACACTGAATGGGCTTGCAGACATTCTGTGAGTCTTTTTTGCTCAGTTAAATGTGACCGCTTTAAAGCATCATGTTCTGTTTCTTCTGCAGCATGCTAGTGCTCTGGTCAAGGCATAAGGTTGAAAATATACTGAGGTATTTTCCTTTTTCTATTAGCAATTTCTCCAAAGTAGTCACAGCTTCTTGGAAACATTTTAACTTTTTAAAATCAGCCTTATTCTGAACTGAAATCCTTTCTACTTTCTGCTTTTGCCTTCATTTACACTTGACATTGACCTTGGAGGATCCAACTGGCAAACGCTGCAGCCTCCAAAATTCCCATTCTCCTTGGACACTGATGTTAACTGCATTCCTACGTGACTCAAAGCACGATAGCTACGATGGTTATTTGGCACCCTTAAACCACCAAGCTCAGCTGCACATTGAGCATTTTAATATTTAAATATTTGAAGTTTACTAATTTGAGCATTACAACATGAAAATTATACAAAAGTAACTCCAGAATAGACTATCTTTTCTTTTATCACGGTATGTTGCTATCTGCTCATTGTTTACACTTTATAATCTAGAAAATCAACTCCCAGTTCACCAGTTTCATGTAGATACCTGTCTTATCACTACAAATATTTGAGCTTCTTTTGAACTCTACACAATACAATGATAGCCTGATGAGAGCTAGCAGATTATATGCTTTGTGAGAAAATGTCCTGTTAGTTGTTTTTTAATTTCTAAAAAATCCAGGGTGTTTCCTCAATTCATACAATACTGAAGAATTCTCATTGGACTTTAGGTAAATGTAATGTATTTATACATCTTATTTTCTAGCATTTCCTTTCTCTCCCTTCCAAATAAATTATCTTTTCTTTATTACCTTCAGTATTACTGGAATTAGGTTAAATCACCTACAGCAGCATTTCACGTAGCATAGTTGCACTTACTTGCATACTGGACACCTCCAAGTTCCTCTTTCACAGTTCAGTTGTAAGTAAGATTCCAGATCAAAGCACTATGTATCAGAAAGGAAGAAAGAAAGAGAGAAAGAAAGAAAGAAACAAACAAAAAAAAACAAAAAAAGAGAAAAATCAAAGGAAAATACTGTATTAACTGAGTCAGTCAAAAGTAAAACTGCCATGAATAAAACCCTACTAGAACCAACACCTAAACCAAGTAGCTTACTTGTCTCTACATTCAACAGTATACATGTATATATGTTCAACAACACATATATGTATTTAACTTTTTATGTTGATAGACAAAAAGGAAATCTGTTAAGGTCTCTCTTACAATAACCAAGCAAAAGGTAATAACATATGGCAGAGGGAACACTGCAATGTCACTGGCATCTACTCACTTGTACATGCTTGCAATCATGACCCCTTGCTGGGAGCTGAATCCGCCGGAATGTGATCGGACACTTCAGAGACACTTTAATAGCTGTTTGCTCTACTCCATCTTCCCCATTTAGTGTCGCATTGCCAGAGGAAGCTGCTACACTACTGAAGTTCCTCTTTACTGTTTAGGAAGAAGGCATGCATGAGAAAATACATGTACTCTTTAAATCCTACTGTAGAAATCTGAAACAGCAACAATTCATCCTTTACAGGCTACTTCAACAGACAATTTATCCACATGAGTGTACATTGCATAATCTTGCGCTGTACAGACAAACCATCACACACATGGGTATCAGCCACAATCTCACCTATAGCAAGTGCTACACATGCACTTAAAGCAGCCCCAAACGAAAAAAGGAGAAGAATCTTTCAATGCAACTCTTTGGAATAAGAGAAAAACAAATATGGGTGGAAAAACAGATTATCCCAGGACAGGAGAGCCATCATTAGGCACTAAGCTTGTGTTCTTGGTATTCTGTTACCCCACCCAAACAGACTTTAAAATTTGAGTATCCCAAGGTTTTAATCTATGCATATAATATTCTGGAAATTCTTAAATGTAGTTTAAAGTTTTCAGTAAGCAAGCAAATCTGGTGTAGAAATAGTTAATCACAATTGAATGTAGGCATTTTAAGAAAGTCATCACCCACAAAAAACAAAACTCACTCTTGGTGATACAATGTTCTGCTGGGAGGAGGCGTTTCTTTAGTAGACCTTGAAGTACAGAGCGAACTGATGGCCGGTGTACTAACTGCAACACGAACAAGTGTGACTGAAAGAGAACATGCTTTGTTACCACCAGAACCAAGCACACATGGTACATATGAACAGAGCTGCATTCTTCCCTCGGATGCATAGCTTCAAGAGGCATCTAACACATAAATAAAGCTGGTGCTGCTCTGCTGAGTGCATGCACTCCCATAAGGATATATTGAATGCTGTACAGTATTTTGTTCTGTTCCCCAGGAGCACAGCATACAATAGCTTTAGAAAAAAAAAGATGTTCTGCACTTTCCTTCTCCTTAATATTCAGAATATGGAGGGCTGATATATTCATCTCTGATACTTGGGTTTATTCCTAAGACCCTGGATTTTTTTACATAATCTAGACCATCTGCCTACCATCACACTATGTTACAAGTTGCACAATTTGCCACTGATCTGTCTGCAACTCACTGAATCCACCTTCCCAACGCAGAGCCGTAAGAGCCTGCTGTGGATTTGCAGGATGCTGCCCCTGCTTTTAGCCAACAGATAAATGGTATTAGGCACAGATACTTCAATGAGAGGTAAAGCAAAATGTGTCAATGGCTCCCCATTAAAATGTCTCACACTGTGACCTTGGGAGAGGTAGCAGCTTACTTTCTTGTCAATAACAACAGAGCAGTTAAAAGCTCAGACTGTAATGTGTGCAACAGTCTGCATTTAAAATATAGTACTTGTCTCTGAAAGCAACTAAACCATGCAAATGGAGAAAGGGGAAGGTTTTCATACGATACGAATTTTTCATCTGAAAGTCATTACCAACAATGAGAGAGCTGAAGTTATCATGTCAAATCAACTGCAGTTTAATCCTCTACATAAATGAAATTAGTACTGGATAACAGTCCACACCACAACAATCTACTTCCTTAAAATCCTTCAGCCACTTTGTAATTCAGGCACACGCAAAAGAGCTTGGAGAGCAAACTCTGTTCCTCCCCCAGGCCCCCAAGTCCTTTCAAACACACTGAAGGGACATTGCTACAGTTTGTATAATTCTGCAGCACAAAAAAAAATAAAAATAAAAATAAAAATAAAAATCAGCATTAGTACTCTGCATGTGTCAACACCATTAAACAAGCACCTTACCAAAAAAAATTGTGGAAAAAAAAAAGAAAGAGAGGAAGGCTTTTTCAGCCAAGGCGACATTTGCAAACTGTACTAAATAGCAAAGTCAGCATCAGCAGCTGCAGCCGCAAGCTCGATGTACTTACACAACAACATGCTGTGACTGTAATTTGAATCGTGTTTCTTCCTGGCTGGCAGACATGCTTTAGGTGCAGAGGTTTATGAGATGTCTTGTTGTCACCACGTTCGATGGTAAGTGGGGTTGCATTAACGCTGACCTGGACTGAAGCTGGCCAGTTTGTGTTCATTTGTCTGTCTTCATGGTGATAGCACTTGAACTGTAATTCCAAGTCAGACCTGTACAACAACCAATAAATCTTCCTTTAACTTTTCTTGCACATTGCAGAGGGAGGTCTCTTTTGTTGCTAGGAACATTTTTTTCTTGACCAATCAGACTATTCTTCTAGAATTATTCCCAATAAAAGATATAACATACTTTCATCACAAAAGCCCTTAACTGAAGGAAGTCACGATGAATTAATGATGCAAGCATACTACAGAGTTGTTAATATTTTACATTTATAAAGGACTTTCCAAGGGAACATCTCAAACCACTTTGCAAAAACAGACTGTGAAATGATCCTACAAAAAAAGAAATGTTAACATCAGATAGGTTTTTCATGTCTGAGTGAAAAGTAAAGAACAAGAAAGTTATACACTGCAGCAGGTTGTGTTAAAAGATTCCAGATCTTTCACTATGTCAGGGCATTTGAACAAGGTTTTGAACAAGTGCTTGTCAGACGTAGTACAGATACAGCTATTCCAGCCTTAGAACAGGTAATCAACTAACAGAAAGTAACCTCTGTTTTTCAATGCCTGTATGTCTGTGATTCCAAATTAACACAGCTTGGATTAAATTTACCCAAGTTACAACTTCTTTCAGAGTAGGATTCCCTTCCTCTCTCTACTAATAAATATCACATGCTATTCAGCACCTCAAAATCAGATTTATAACACCTCCAAAAAAAGGGAGTGGCTAAACTAAGTTAATAAAAATTAAATGGGTAGAGATTATGACTCCTAAGTGTCACAGACAAATGTCAGTGTGTTAGAAAAGAGCAATTTGAAGAAGAAATGTAAAAGAACATGAGGAACTGAACTGAAATGCTGGAATTCTGCTCTTTGTGATAGCTAAAACGTTCTGCCCAATGTTTATCTTCTATGCTTGAAAACTCAGGTGCTCATTTCTTCATCTTGTCTGGAAGAATACGTCTTTGTAAGATCCACAAGGAACAGTTCATTCAGATTATCATCTTAACTGTCATTTTCCTTATCCAGAAATAGAGAGTTGAATTCTGACTTAACACCGTCTTCTCCAGATTTCAAAACATCTAGATTTAGTACTGGATAAAAACGTCTTTTTGTTTTGTTTTGTTTTTAGTAAAGAAAAGCACAGAATACAAATTACGTGACCATTCAGTATAATCCTTCTCTATCAAGTGTTCCTAGATGTTTTTTTTTCTAGTATTTTACTGACAAGTTTTGAAAGATCTCTGCAAGATCTACTGGAAATTCTCATCTCATGAGAACATACAGCAAACCACTGAAACCCAGAGGCAAGCAAGCCTCAGTGCCTCTAATATAAAACCCAAATGGATTATGTGCATTCCTGAGAACTCTGGCCAGGTCTGCTGAAAGTCTCAGGGTGAGAACAGAGATTAGGAGACCTTCGTGTTCTTAGCACTCAGCCCCCCAGCAGGTCTTCGCTAATAACTAAGTAGTGCTAAGGTTGAGTCAGCTTCAAGCCAGCTTCAATTTCTTGCTTTCAATCTTCTGTTTCTCATAACCATGAAAAGTTCCCAATGGGGACAAAAACAGTTCGTAACGAGTGTACACGTGAGAGGTTTTGCTGAATATTTTAACTGGCAGAAAAATATTCAGAACTGGCTCAATTCCATCATTCTCTATAAAAACAAAATCCTTCCACACATGTGGCTAATTCATTTTTTTGGAACCCATCCAGCCCTGAGGTAAATTTGCAATGACTTTGTTACAGGACCATCCGTTCTCCCCACCACCGACAAGCTTTTCAAAACAGTAGACCTGAGCACAGTTTACCTACGAGTCTTCATTAAAATGAGTTTAAATAAAGGCTGTGTGTTTGGTGAGCTAAGGAAGAAAGAACGAACAGAAAGAAAGAACAGATATTAAGAAACAGCCTCATGCCTCAGTGCAGCACTATAAATCTACTGAATGAGCCAGCACAATCCCCAGTAGTGATTACTTATTAATAAGAACCAGCAAATAACTGCCAAAACTCCCTCTGCTTCTAGTACTCCACGATAATGAAATTCAAGTAAGCAATAACTGACCTCAAAGTTAGGTGTTAATTATTGGATGTGGTCTGTCTGAAATCTCTCTCACTTCTAACCCCCAGGCTTCCTCAAGTTTGGGCACTGTGGCAGCAAACCACTCTTGTATCCTATGTCCAGTCTCAGCTTTAGAGCCAGAGTCCATCCTGGGGGCAGTGAACCCAGCACATCTCTCTGCTACCCCTGAACACCTGGTGCTTTGTCCATGCCATAAAAACGGAAGTCTCAAATGAATTCCAGTAAATGGGAAGAAGGTCCTCAGGTGGAAAAAGCTGAAACTACAAGTTGTTAGTCCCCTTTTGGCCAGGGTGTATTTGATCCAGGCTCAGAAGAAGCTGAAAGTGAGGAAGGCATAGCAGAAAATGTGCTGAAGATGCAGTGTTTTACCACCTCAGCTGCTACACCTGTACAGAGATTGTTTTACAAGATAGTGAGTGGCTATCCAAGCTCCACAGTACACAGAGCTTCAAACAATGCAATCAGAAAACAGGATAACACTGAAATACTTTCTGAGAAAAACAGGAGACAGAGTTATTTGGCAGGATTCGAAAACATACAAATAGAAAAAGAAATCTGGCTCTGATTGCAAGCTGATATAAATGTTGACAGCAGTACATAAGCTGGAATCAGTCATGCAAATCCAAATTAAATTCCTACCACCTAGGAAAACTATTTCTCTGTACTGGAAAGTAGTAGCATTTGCTGTAATTGAAAAACAGGAGACTTTATGGATGGGAAGCTATGTTCTATATTTCTGATCCATCCTTATTTGGGGATTCATGGAAGAGAGGGGATGTATGAAATCAGTTTCAAAACTTTGGAGGATGTAAGCAGTCTTCTTTCCAACTGATGCTATCAGGCATCTAAACTGGGTTCTTCTTTAGCGTGTTATTTTTAATTATCAGATATTCAGCCATTTAATTTCAGCTATACCTGCAACTAATATTTCACAGGTCACAGAGCACCCAGGGCTTCAGAGTCTGCTACATCAAAGTTTGAACCAGTGTTGGTCGCGCACATCCCGCACTCATTCTGCCCAGAGCAGAAATGATGAAATGGTTACGACGACTTTTCAGGGTGTGCTATCAGCAAGGGAATGCAACATCCTTCAGGAAGTATTTTAAAACACACTGCCTTTGGAAATCAGCAGGTGAGATTATCTGTGAGCATAAACGGGACTTTTCCAAGCTAGGTCACAGTTTTTGAAGTGAAATGGCAAACCTAAATGAAGTTCACATGGCCTGCCAATTCTCCATCGCTGGTGCAAGACTTCTTCACAACAAGACTCAGCTTACCTCCACATCAGCGTTTGATGAACAGTTGGCCGCAAGTGAAAGACATGGTTACTGACTGCCAGGTTGTGTTCCAGCCGGAAGGGCTCCAACACAACACCATCCCTCACGGGAAATGTCAGACGCAGCTCATCATTGTGGTTGGCTGGGATCGAAGAGGGAGAGAAAGCATGAACTTTCCCTTTAGCATCTGCAGTGCAATAATAATGTGTATATTTATACAGAATAGTAACAAATGGCACAGCGATCTGCTACTGGGTTTAACTTTGCAGGTTCATACACACACAAAAGAAAGACACAAGTAGCTACAGGATCTAGTCAAGTGAAAAGGCTGATAACGATGGAAAACCTGACTCTTTTGTTCTCCTTTTATTCTGGGCAACAGTGTGGCAAGAACTTGTGTTTTTATCACCGCATAGGTTTGGTGTCCAGCCTTACTCTGTTAGCAGAAAGACTGACAACTCTTGATTATGGCCAACAGCAATGATGTTTAGCTATTTCTTCTGCTTTGAGCAGAACATTACCCAATTAGTTTCAACTGGATCTTTCCCAAGATCAAATATACTAGCACACAATTGCTATCTGATCTAGCAACACAAGATTTTATGGTAATTTACAGCTAAACAATACAGACCAAATGCCTTTAAAATACTATGTTTTTGCCCAAACAATACTGCAAGTCAGTTTCTTCTACTTCATTTTTCAGCTATCCTGAATTCCAAAGACTGGCTGCAAGTGCTAATGCAGCAGAAGTCCATTTTAGGAAACAAAGATTCTCCCAATTCCCTAGTAAGTAATATCTCCTACTGTTCATCAGTCACAGCAAAACATCAAACATCTTGTGCTAGTATAGAGCCAGAGAGATCTTGTTATTCCTTTCCTATTCCCAGCCAAATGTAGCTGTGAGGTTGAGTGACTTTGAAAGGAACATATATCAATTTTTGGCATGCTACTGAATATTCTTAAGCCTGTATGGATCACAATAGGGACAATGCTATAAATATTCACATCATATGCCATTCTGCTGTTATGTTCAATGAATGGCTTTGTCCTTGAACAAAATATACCACAATAAAAGTTCATACAATCAACAAGCATACCAAGCACACAGAACACAACTTGAAATTAAATGTTTTATCATTAGGAAGCGTATCAAAGGAATACTTTGAAGAAATGTGTAAAGAATACTTTAACTTTGAAGAATTTCTTGGGATATTCTATTTTAGGAGGGGACAGTAATCTTTCCTTTTCTTTTCTCCTCACTCTACAGAGTCTGCACTGCGCAGCAGGGCCATGCCATCTATTACAACTTAGCAATCTGAGCCTCTCCCAGAGCAGCAATCAAACCTGGTTTCCAGACTGAAATGTATGTGGCAAAGAATAAAGGGACAATAAATGACAGGGGGAGTATTCTGGTTGCTACTCACTTGGAGGTGGTGGTAAAGCATTGATATTTGGCTTAATGTCAGGTGGGAATGGTGGTTTGACATCCTGGTTAGGTGACAGGTATGGAGGAATATTGCTCCCTGGAGTCATAGGTGGCGTGGGATTTCCTGGAACAGGTGAATGAGGGTAATTTGCCACAGGTACAGGCCTTGATGGCTAGAAAATAAATAACATCACATTGTTATTGCAGTCTGAAAGTAACAATAATAAGCTTTGTGAACTGTACTGTTATCAAACATCAAGGACTACAAAGGAGGAAGGCTCTTCTGTCTCCAGAAGGAAGAGAAACCACAGGATGTCCCATGAGGCCTTCAGGGAAGAGGCAGACCAGAAGAAGCAAGCAGGATCTGGAACCAGCAGACTAGCCAGTTTCATTCAGGCAATGACCAGACAAAAAGCAAGGCTGCTAAGACGCTTACTGCGTTCCACTGAACACTCTCTTTCCACAACCAACTGTTTCAGTTTCTCCACACCACTCCAACCCATCCAGCCCTTTGCACCTCTTTAGTTTCCTTCCAAAAAGACCCTATGCTCAAATGCCTACACGAAAAACAAAATCCAAGGACATAGAATAAGAATGTCTGTGACCCTTTCACTTCCATCTACCCTTTTTTTCCACTCCTGTCCAATTCACCTACTCAGAATGAAGGCTCTGAGGCTCAGGGGATCTATTTTATTCTACGCATCTACAGTTTGACTCTGTTCTCTGTTTGCTGCTAAATCAGACTAGCTAAAAGAAAACAGATGGTTGATTATAAACAGCAGTTCTAGTATTAAAACACCATTGGTTTTGTTTCTTGCAATTAAGGGGAAGGGTAGAGGTAACAGAATAAACCAGTAAGAATAATGTGAAAGATGATGATACTAAACAAAACTGCAACTCCTGGCACCCTCCTTTAATAGTGTACCATAAGTACACACACAGCAGAGCATCACAGGATGAACATCTTAACAAGCAGCCAGAATATGAGGACTGCATATCTGATTCCACATCTAAACGCCATGCTGCTAGAGTAAGGTACTCTGATGTACCCAAGAAGAAAGTTACATTCTAAGTCTTTACTTTTCCATCCTACATTTCTCTGTGCGTGTATTCTTTTTTTTCTTTTCATTAAAACATACAGTTCCTGTCTCCACGACCATTATAGTCCAAAGGTTTAGGCTTCATCTATGGAATTTTTATTTTTCCCCTGGCCAGAGATAATCTCCCTTCTTGACAAGTTATTTTCTAAGTGTTTCCAAGAACGGTCTATATTTGAATACAAAATGCACTGGAAAGACCACAAATCCCCCATCAGAACTATTCCATAAAAAAAAAAAAAAAACAACCCTTAAAACCCAGCCAAAATAAACAAATGTAAAATATATATTTTAGATTTGTCACTTTAAAACTTCAAAGGAATCTTCTGCTGTTATTTTAGCATAATCGACTGCACTGGAACTGCAGTGGATGAGGATCTGTCACCTTGTTGTGTTCTTCCGCAAAAGCTGCTATGATGCAACAGGATTTCCTGGGGCAAGTTGCAGTGGACAGCTTGGCTGCACGTAGAACAGATACTCTATAGAAAAGGGTTTGGGTTTTTTTTTTTGGCTCCTTTTTCAGTGGTGTGTTTTCTGTGTGATTAACACAAGAAATTCCAATCCAAGACAAATTTGCACCTTCCAACCTCCAAAATGAGAAAGTAACCTAGAGCTAATGTTTTAAGAGCAGATCAGATCATCCACATCCTCTCAATTTTTATATTCACTGAAGTATCTGTGTGCAAGAGATGTCAAACTTCAGAAGGTCTTCAGTAAAACTCAATATGGATAATCAGAAGCAATCAGGATAATTCCATAAAAAAGGTTTTATACAACACGCAAACAATTCTACTTCTTGCCCAAAACAAGCACAGGGAAAAAAAAACAAAAAACAAACAAAAAAAACCCACAACAAACAAAAAAACAAACCAACAACAACAGAGAAAACAGGGAGAAGTGGGAGAAAGAACATGAATTCTACAGCTGGAACAGCTTTTAATTTTGGTCTAGTTTAACCTCACAGTGAGCACTGTAGGTCTGAAATTGGGATGCTGCAATGTGGAACTTCTTTATTACAAATTTCCAAAGCTGTTTCTTGTAGTTTGTCATGAACAGGTGAAAATTTTACAGCTGTATCCATTAGGTACTTATTTTTAGAATCTATATTTGAAGTGAAACCAAGAGCTCCTAATGAGTCGCAGTAACATTCAGTTTTCTTTATGAACTGGTCTGAAACTGCAATCCAACCTGGCTGATAAACTTGTTCCTGTGATACCTAGAACATGAGTATAAGCACTGTATTTTTTTCTGTCTTTCCTTTTATGATGTAAAAGCAGTAGCTGAGAAGTCATAAATATGACTTCATCCATAAAAGTCTACCCAAATGCGAACTGAGAATCTAAAAATGCTTACCTTGTAATACTGCCCCATGTTGACTGTTGGAGGAGGGTACTGCCCTGTGTTCTGCTGGCTTGGCATCCTCTGTCCAGGATAGTTGGGAGATGTAAGGGGTCTTGGAGGATTGGGAGTGGGATACTGACCAGGCTGGTTTGGAAACTGGCTATTTGGTCCGTACTGCTGGTTTCCATAATTTGGCTATTTCACAACAGAGATGAAAGAAAACAAAACAAAGATCTGTTTCTTGCAAGCAACTGTCCTGAATTGATTGTTAGTATATATTAAGTGGTAGAATCAAAACAGAACAAAATCACATCTCCAAGTGAATATTCCTTCATTTAGTATCATTCATGCGTAAACCAGTGCCCTGATGGCTGGAAGTGTATATTCACTCAGAAGAGTGAAAGTCCCACAAACTGAAGAGTAATAAGATCAACCACATACATTTTTCCCTGCATCTCCACAAACACACACACACCCCTTATGGTGTTGTTAAGTCCCCACAATCTTCTGTTTATGCTACCTTTATGATTCAAACAGAAATTCTAGTTTCAAAAAGAAACCTAGAATTGTAGAAATGTGAAATGTTCACAGTCTCTCTGTTTTTATAAGCACTACCAGCACCATCCTTGTGTTTCCATTTCCAGATGAAGAATGGAAGCACAGAAAGAAAAAGTACCTTAAAAATATGGCAATTCTAGAACGTACACAAAATAGCACATTCTTACTGCTCAACACAGCTGCCACCCTGGCCCTGAGTGACAGTGCTCAGCTGTACCCAAGCTAAATACAAGTTGGTATTTGTCATAAACACCTTGCTAACTCTTGTGAGTACTGTGCCGCATTTCCAGAATGAAAATAATGAAAACTGTAACTTCAAAGGTAATAAAATGTCAATTTGATGATTAATTGATTAATAAGAAGTCTCCATAAACTAAGCTCTCAAAAACCAAAATACAAACAGCATCTACAGAATTTGCGCGCTGTCAGACTAGCAGGCAACAGTTAGGCTCTGATCAGTATTAACTTCTTGGGAACATGATCATATTCAGTTATGACTACAAAGTTGCTTCTGAAACAGAAAAACAGAAGCCACAGCCTTCCCTAAAACATGAAATCTGAAGACAAGTATTTTTTATTTTTATTATTTTAGAGTAAGTGGTAACATTCACTCTACAGAGTGAAAGACCTTCCCAGAAAAACAATTCCTCCTTTTTTTTTTTTTTTAATTATTATTTTTTTTTTATTCCAGATTTTTTAAAGAACAGTTTATGGATTAGGAAAAAACTAGTCTTGAATAAATATATGCAGCTCTAGAAATAACGCTTGCTATATTTTGTGCATGCCATAGTACTCTTTGCTGTATGTTTTCTATAAACTCTTACTATTGTTATTACATCTGGGGAAAAAATAATAATATTGAAAGCTTTACAGCTGAGTTATAGCTATTACTATAGTCTCTGTTTTATACATAATTTCACCAGGAAATTATATCTGAAGCCAGTAACTGGTGGCTAGTTTTATAAAGACATTTAGGCATATACAGATGCAGAGAGGTAACGGATGGAATTCTCAAAAGCACCTACTGCCTAATTCTCACCAATTTTAATAGTAAAATGTCATTGTGCATTTTAAAATGCAAAAGCACATCTGCCTACACCTTTAGTTGTTTTAATCTTTGTATCATTTTGACCCTAATTATACTGCTCAAAGTCACAATACAAGTCCATGGCAAAGTAATTTTGCATATGAAGTCACTCAGGTCTCACATAACAGCATGAGAACTTAGAAATACTGCACTCCAAATAAACTTATATTAGGTAAGTGCTGACACAGAGGGATCACGAGCTCAGCATGATTTATATTCATCTAAGCACCTATGAAAATCAAGCCTGAAGAGGTTTGGAAAGCATTTGGTCTTCAAAATAAATGTTATTACTATTGGTGTTTATACAGCGTATGCCCTGTACTTCCTTAGAACAATAAAACCATTCAAGAAAATGTAGACCACATACATACTGGGCTCAAATGAAGTATTTCACTCTTGAACATCTCTTTGAAGTTGTCAAGCAAAATAAATCCAGTCTTCTGAAGGAAGTGTGCTTAAGGTCTATGACTCTACCACCTAGCATGAGAACCTCAAAGTGACATTTTGAAGACTCAGATGGTTTAGAGCCTTTCTTGATTTTAATGATTTTTGTAATTTTGACTAACATATCAAAGACCAATCTGAGTACTTTAGAAGCTAAAAATCAATAACTGCTGTCACTCAGACTTTACAAGCAGTTTTCCTGCTTGTAAGTTTGGAACAAAGATATAGTTATTGTAGAGGTTTAATAATAGTTAAATAATAGTTATTATTTAGCATACAGCAACCTTCAGCCAAAATAATGCTCTATACTAACTAAAACAAGCTAGAGAACTTCCTACCTCTCCTGGGTATGGTCTCTTTATGCCCTGTATAGGCAAAGACTGAGGCCGCGGGCCTGGGTAGGCTTGCTGAGGCATCCTCTGCCCATGGGTACTGAAGGGACTCATTCCAGGAGGCCTAGGTTGGTTCATGGCCATGGGTGGCCCACTCATGCTGGAAGGTGTCATTCCTGCTCCCATGCTTGCTGGGTTCATGTTGCCTGGCATTGAAGCAGGGCCACGAGGACCAGGCTGGTTCATAAACTGGTTGTTGTAAGCCTGAGTTGGACCCATCTGGAAAGAGGAACAAACCTTCAACGGAAGAAGAAGAAAAAAAAAAAAGAATAAAATGCGACATGCATTTAAAATGGGAAGAGGGGGCTGAACATGCTTTTGGGGGGAGAGGGGAAAAAGAAAGGGATGTGTTATGTCGCATTTTCCTTTAACGTTCTCCAGCTTTTGATGGGTGGTGATGTTATTTATAATAAAAGCTCACTTAGAATCGTAAAAGACATAAGAGAGACAGACAGGCATGTCTACAATGAGCAACAGTTTCAAAATGCTAGTCTATAATGGTTAGGCTACAAAGCTCGCTACATACATACAGCACTGTGCTACAATTTCTAAGATGCTATTCTTCATTACATCACCTGGCATACGCGCCTATATACTTCAAAACTCGGAGAGGTTTGCTAAAGAGAAAACTTGAAGCAATCGAACCCTTGTTTGTTTTCAGAAAAAAAAAATATTACAGCAAATCATGATGTGCTGGAGGCTATGGATCACCAGAAATGCATGTCTCACATAGCCGTTCAGGCAGAAAGAATTATTAAAAAGCAAATCTCTTTTCTATTGTTGTTTCCTTGTCTGAAGGGAGAACACAAACCGACTGCAGTTGGCAAAATAAGCAATTACTCAAGCAATACAAAACCATTTTTGAGATTCTGAAACATTTCACCAGGTACTCCAGTTTAGAGGTTCACAGGACTAGCAAAGGCAGAAATAATACATTCCACCAGACGTACCCGTAACTTCAGGTAGTCTTTGACTGTTTAAAGGGACAATCTATGAACCACAAAAGACAGACTTTTTGGGGAAAAATGGGACACTTCAACTCATTAACAACATATATTCCACCAGTTTCTCATAAGCATTTATAACCATGCTCATGCAAAAATATAGGTTGGCACCCTATATAATAATAATAAAATAAATAAATAAAGGGAAGGCAGCCCAGTTCCCTGTGATGGTCCAAATCAGGCAGGTACGAAGTCATAGGAGCTACATTCTTACCGGTCCATACTGGTTCATGTCCTTATTCTGTGTTTCCTGAAGGGCTGCCACAGTGGCTGTTGCCGTAGCTGTTGCTGTAGCAGCTGCAGCTGCAACTGCAGCAGCGGCAGCGGCAGCTGCTGGCTGGGTGAAATCAGCTGGTGGCCTGGTGTGCGGCGGGATGCCCATCCCTGCGGGAGTATTGGGGCCTCCAGGGTAACTGACCAGGAAAAAAAGATAGAAACAATTGAGACCTGTCTGGTTTTGTTCTGAACTTCAGTGTTCCACATCCAGAAGAACTGTTTCAAAACTATGTTACCAATTCCCAGTGGGAGTCAGCAGGAGGAGAAATTCAGCATGTAAGTGAGATACAAGAGCTGCTCACATGCTACCAGGATTGCAAGACATCTCCCCCTGGTTGTTTGCTGGAGGGCACTGAACTGCTTTGCAGCAGCTCTGCAGCTTACTGAGAAATTGAGCTGAAATCCAAAAAGTTAATGCGTACTCCATTTCTCAATAATTTAAGGGCAGACTGCACAGCAGCATGAACAGACAGACAGCTGCCTCCAAAGAAGCACATTCACCCGCCTTGGTGGCAAACTATGCCAAGTGCAAAAGCACTCCTCCCTCAACCTGAGCACAGCAGCAAGGAGAGACCCACTGCAATCAGCTCCTTCCAGATCTTGCACAATGAATTTTGCAGTTCCTAGCCAGGTCTTCTATTGATCATAATATAAATGAAACGAAATCCTGTCTTTTCAACTCTAAGACTTCTAGTATCTTTATAAATATGGGTCAGCACTACTGTGTCCATTTTAGAGATGTTAACATAGAGGTACAGAAACTTCATGGTTTGTTCAAGGTCACTCAGTAGATCAGTGCCAGAGATGAGAGATCAAGACATTCAAGTTCTAAGCTTATATTCTTCACATTAGACTGATTATGTTAACAACCTTTCCAGCAGTCGTTGCTGAGAGGCCATAAATGGTGGTTCTGTTAAGTGGACTTACTACTCTTCTTTACAAAGGACATATACAGAACGTCAACATTTAACAAAGCCCAGACTATTACTTTAGGCCTACTTTGCAAATGCATTATTTACTTATCCAAAACAAAACAAATACACAGTAAGATCACATCTCTTAACAAAATCTGCACCTCCTCCATTTTTATTTATTTATTTTTTTCCAAAATGCCTGCTGTGGTACAAGACTTTGGGCAGAAATGCTCCATCCATAAGAATCTACTGTTGCCTAACGCCCAAGTTTATTTCTCCATACAAGCACATAAATTATGTCATCAATATCTTTCACAACCTGGCCTTATTAAATGTTAATCATTCCTAAGCCTGTGGTCTATTTAACAATCTCTCTTAATTAAAACTTTATTTGGGGGGTTTATTAGAACTAATTGATTGACCTAAGCCATTTCCATTTACTGTGATGAATTCTGTTGTAGTTTGAGTAGCTGATTTCTGAAGCTGTAAAAGCATTTTATTTAACCAGCATAAAATAGCTACTGAGACTTAACGCATCGAAATGAGTGTGTGACACTTCCATCACATCACTAAAACAAGCTTCATCGACTATTTACACCCCTTCTCCACCTCACACAGGTAAACCTTACCTCCCACCAAAGCCTCCACTTCCAGGGTAGTTGGGTCGCCCATACATGCCCTGCTGTATATACGGCTGAGTGGAGCCTGCCTTGGCTGAAAACTGTTGCTGCTGTCCAGCAAACTGAGGGGAGTTGATTCCAGGGTTGCTGGTAGTCATCCCAGAAGCCATGGGATTTCCTCCTGGGTTCATAGGGTTGTTAGCATTTGCCATTGGATTTCCCAGCACCTGTGAGTAAGAAACGTGAGAATAAGGGGATGTACTTTGAACTACATCAAGCAAATTGTGTTGATTTGATGGAATCAATAAATTACGATATAACCATCTTGTACTCTGAACTCTAAGCATGTGTCTTGCTGAAGCCTAGATGCACTGGCTTCTGATGATCTCTCCTTTACCCATTTTCAAACTATCAAGAGTCTCTGATACCTAATTTTCCTTCACAGAGGGCAGTTTAGATTCTACTTAGTTAACAAGAGCACTTACTAAAAAGTTTCAATAAAGACCTGCTAGATCCATGTTCTTTAGGTGACACTGATCCAATTAAGAGAAAGCACATTTATTTTCAGTTTGTTTTGTTTACGGAGGACTTCACGTAGGACTTACAAGTATCCAGCCCCACAGACATACTGTAAAGGATGTTACAGATGCAAAAACTGTTAAGAGTATGTATTTCCATGGCTTAGCCTGTTTTGTACATTTTTTTTTTTTCAATTGAACCAAAGATGATATGACTTTCTTTGAGATGTAAGCATGATGGTTCAGGGATTACCTGCATGGAAATCTGCCTGCTGTTTAGAAAGAAATTTAGGAGTTACAATTTTTGCAAAAGACCAAACCACAAGGTGGTGTTGAGTTTATCCAGTTTTGAGATTTGTGATACCAAATCTGTGAGTCCAGCTCATCCCCTCAGGGAGCAGGAAGACTTATGGGAAACCTTGCCATTTGTCTCAATCTGCTCTGAACAGCTACAGCCAACCCTCACGTTTCAGAGTTTCATCCTTTCCTTGCAGTAATTCTGAAGAAGCATCTTCTTTTTACCAAAGCACTTGTTTTTTTTTTAACTGCACATTCCTCTGAAGTATCATGAAGAGCTTAAATAATATAACAGTGTTCTTAAGATAGAACAAAACACCGAATCATTTTTTCTTTTTCCATCTTAAGAGCGAAACATTTCTGCAATGGACTATCTTTCCATTTTCTGGCCAATGCTATTATGGACCTATATGTTTATATTTATTCAGCTGTTGCTCTCCTAGATGGGAGACCTTGGTTTTAAAAAGAAATCAACAGTAATAAATGAAGTCTGGTAAGTGTTACCTATCTGTATTTTTGAAGGAAGACTGTGCCACAGTGTTCACATAACTGCCACATGACAATCTATACGACTTTGCTCCTGAATGATTTCTTTTCTACATTACTCAATTTACAACATTTTTGTTTTTATTTTTCTAACCAAACTTTTAAAACAAGCAAACAGAAAAATTTGGTAAGGGATCTAATAATGTTTCATTTGAGAAACACGGAAAAAAGAGGTTGGATTTACACATCACTTGTGCCCACAAAACATGGGAATGTGTTTAAGGTGCTTCATCCATGGTATAAGAAAGGGCAATGTTGTCTGAGAGTATGACTTGTGTCACAACCCTTGGAGACCACACTATCAGAGATAACCTGTATCCTTTTCATTAAAGCTGTTTCCTTCATACAGCATAATTCTGCATAGCATCATCTTCTCTAACACATTGGAGAAGAGAAACAGAAGTAAAGATGGAGAGAATGGAATGAAAATCACATAAATGTGTCTCTTGCCTGGAAGCCAGTAGATCCTGCTTTTGCTCCAAGGCATACTGAAATATATTAGTGAAGTAAGGCAGTACCAACAGTGAGGTTGAAGAGAGTTCAACCTGCAGTTGGTAGTTAGTACCTCGGCATGGAGGTAGACTTAGCAAACAGATCTCAGAACGCAACAACAGACCCAGGTAAAAACAACAGAAGTTGCCATTTTGAGAATCTAGACAAAAACACTGTTTTTTCAATAAAAAAAAATCTAACTAGAATTCCTAAGAGGTTTACAAAGAGGTGACAAAGTCATGCCTGTAGTGCTTAAATATGTGCTATGCCCTATCCTGACATCTGCATGCAGATAAGAGGATTGCTGATTGAAGCTTTCAGTCACCTCCTTTCTGATGCTTCCAAAAAGAACACAACTGGAAAAAAAAAAAAGAAAAAAAAGGAAGAAAAAAAAGCAGCAAAGCACTAAAGCACAACAAAGAGAACGCAGACATGTTAATGATCATAAGAGAATTTTCCCAAAAGCTTTTCATTTTGCAAGCATTAATCAAAACACAAATCTAGCAGGGAGGCAACATTAAAGTGAAGCTTACCTGGCTTTGAGAGGTATTAGTCACACCCCATACCGTGGTGACCACTGATAAGGAACCTGGAGGCTGGTTGGTATTTTGCTGCCAGGGAACAGAGTCGTAAGGGAAAGACCCATCACTGTGAAAACAAACGTTTAGGAGAATGAGATTCTGGAAGGTTAAATGGTGGCAAATTGCTGGCGGGAACACAGGATTAACACCTCACATTACCTTAACTCCCCACTCCTTTTTCCATTCTTAGCTTAGCACTCCCAGAGGCATAAAGTTTCTTCTTTAACAGCAATGTGATCTCACCAAAACCACACAGAACTAATGAATTCCTTGATTGTATCAAAATACAGGGCTTTTACCATAAAGGTCTGTTACTAGTGAAAGTAAAAATAAACTCAAGGGCAGATTTTCAAATGGGGACACTAAGCCAGTTGCTCAGAAGCACTTATTTTTTTGCAATCCATCTCAAGCTCTTCAACAATCACTTCTTCAGCTGCCTCATAACAATTCAATTAGATTTTGAGACTAGACTGCAGCTCCACTGTCTGCACTGGGTCCTCAAATGGCCAGAAGAGCCTTTAAAGGAATAGCAGTTCAACATCATTTTGAAAAGTAAATTGAAATTCAGATAGTGTTCTCCCACACAACGGATAAGCTGCATGCCAAAAACAGTATTAGCTAATCAGCATGCTAGAAAATCAACTGCAGATATACACCACATCTTTCAGATAAATACGTGGATGAGAAGACTGGGTTTTTCCATTAGCTTTGTCCACAGATACAAGTAAACATTTCTTACAGTTCTTTTCATTAAAAAACTTAAATGGTTGCAAAATAAACACAGCATATGTACACACCATGTAATTAATGACATATGCTAAATTCTGTGAAAGTAACCATTGATCCATCACCATAAAACACATCCCCATTTGAAATTTACTTGTTCTGATACCATTAACTTGTAAATTAGACTTCTATTTGCATATATGTACATATATACACACGATCTTGCCTCACCTAGATATAAACCATTTAATAAGCATACAAATTGCTCTTTCATCACCAAAAGATCCTTACCTGTATTTTTTTTTTAATCAAGAACAGCTACAGTGGTAGCCAGCTACCACTAGAATTCCTTATGGAGCTACCATGCCCAAAGAATCTATGCAGGTTCTCCTAGAAATGCATAGGAGTGCATCAAAGCCTAAGCTACAGGGACCTCAGAAGTAATTCAAGCAACACCTGGCAAGACAACGGAGCTGCCTATGCCCCAGTGAGGGCTCTGGGGCAGACTAGAGAGGTGATGATGCTCCTGTATTATCAGACAGCATACAAGCTTGGGCCACTTTTCCCTTTTCTGCCAAGAGCCAAAATCAAGGACTACATCTGTGTTTGCTCTTCATCTAGCTCGTAAAGTCTAGCATAAATCATTTAAGAATAGGAATTACATTGCACAAAGAAGTGTGCACACGTGATTAAAAACTGCCCATGTCCAAAGTGACCAATAATCTTAGTAACACCAATAGCAGCTAAGCTGAAATGAAGTAGTGAGTACATTTTACAAACAACCAGTAAATTTCAAACAAATTCCATATACCTGCATCAGCACAGCAGCACTGTATTAGAACATAATGATGAATTTAAACTGACCTGTTTGTTTCAAAATACCCAAATTGAATTAAGTAATAATAGAAAAAGAAAAGAATTTAATTAGGGAAAAAAATAATTTCCCCTAACAAATAATTAGAGAAAATTAATGGAAAACACTAATTCTATATGAAATGCTTGACAGGTAATGTTTATCTTGACAGCATGCATATAAAATGATGTGTGAATAAGGGCATATTTAATGCCTTGCAATCAGCGAGTCCTCTTAGCCCATTTTTCTTTAAAATATTTTCTCTTGCAAGGTTAAAAATCTTCCTAGTCACCCTCAAAGTCTCAGACAGTGGTTTTGGTGACTAATATTTGCAAGTGACGCAATGTTTCAGTGAGTCCCCTTGGTCAACATGGAGATGAATGATGACTAACTCACAATGTGTGACTACTACAAAGCTCTCCTCTTTTTTCCTGCTCTGAATGATGCCTCCTACTTTATTTCCTCCTCTGATGGTTTTTGATGATGTCTGCTCTGCGATCTTTTAATATATTTATGGCACGTATGGATACTTGTGTACTTCAATGACTACAAAGATCTTGCTATGACATAAGCAGTTAAAGGACTCACTGCAGCCATTTCTGTATACTTCCTAATGATGTGCTGCCAACAGGTAACAAAACCTGAGGGACAAAGAAAATATTTTGTAAGTGCAGGAGTAAAGACAGTGTAAGAAGGGTAATGACAGACATGGATAAAACCAGAGTCACTGAAGGCTCTTCTAATGCAAATAAGCAGTGTGGCTGGTACACACGCTCATGCTTTGAGCTAGTGATGCCATAGCTTACGGTAAGAAGTTGCACCCATATCTTTACTTTCTTTGCCTCCAAAGTATGTTTCTCCTATTCTCCTTTACAGTACACAGAAAAGAATTCATCTATTATTCATCCAACTGTAGATTCAGAACATTTGTTAGTCAAAGGTTGAGCTAGATTCTCGCAGATTATGCAATCACTTCATCTAATTATAAAGAAGAGTAAATCACTCAATTTTTACCACATTATGGTAAAGTGTCACCTCGAGAAGCCATATTGTTGACATATGATGAAAGCTGCTGGCATAGGAAACCCAACATAACACATGAAAGCCAGAATAAAAGACCATACATAGATTTGTTGAGGAACATTCACTGCACACATCAAACCACGTGACTCCTACATTGTCCAACACAGAACTTAGCTCAGAAATTACGGCAACTCTGTAATAATGGCAGGTAGTGCTTCATAGAACAGCAACTTGTACACCTAATGTGCACTTATTGAGCTAGATGTCACTTCACACAAGTTTTCCTTCGGCCACTGCAGTGAGGAATATTTGGCATTCTCCCAGTTTGAACTCCATGACACAACGCCCTGGCTATCACCTCCTACACATGCGTTTGAGTCCAACCTTGCTACACTGGACATGACACTCACTGCACCTCTGCTGTATGAATGTCTCTCTGGCTTTAAGCAGTGAGACATGCTGAAATACACAGCATTTAGCTACAGGATAACTTGCTCTTTCATTTCTCCACTCCTTTAAGTTGCATTTCTGTCCTTAGACAACCCAGAGGAGTACTCCCACCATCATAGGCAAATCCATGTAAGTATTATATTGAGACGTGACCAATCCAATTGTCTTTTGCAAAAGAGCAGTCACCTCTGCTGTTACTATACAAGGCTGCATATTTCTGACATCCCTTTCTTGAGGCCTGAAAATGTCAGCCAGTAGGCAAAGCAGCTTCGATGTCTCCAGGCCAAGTGAAGTGCTGCCTGCAACGTTGTTCCTGTTGAACAGTACAAGGGTAATTAAGTCTCTCAGTATATCCTGGAGGACAGTGAGTCAGTTTAGCCTCAGCTGGAGTCCACTAAAAGAGTACAGACTAAATTTATAACAGCGTTAATGAATCTTTGCATGCTACTGTTCAGCATGAAAGGCCAAACAGCAGAAGAAGCCATAGAACAAAGAGGAGGAGATGAAGGGAAATACTTCTTCAATGATGATGTAGTGAAACTGTGACCAAGCTGTAAGTAGGAAAGATTTCTTAGCCACTGGCAAACCTACTGAAGCCAGTGGTAATACAGCACAAATACCAGAGAGGTACACTGGCACATCTCTTAATTCCCAGTGCTAGAAAAAGAGAACCAATCAGATGGCAAACCTCTTCAGAATAGTTACAGACTTGCATCAGACACAGATCGTCAGCTAGCTCTAATAAAAATAGCTTAAGAGAAAGTGGGCTCCGTATAGCAAGTAAAAGCTAGGGAATTACGGTGGCTCTCACATGATTTGAGGCATTATTTGGAAATGCTGCACTTAAAATATGTTTACATAACTAAAACTACAGTTGTCATTAAAGCAATTGTATGTGTATCAGATACTCTGTTTACGTATCTTCATTGATTGAGGAAAGCGAGATTCAGACTGTTTAGTGAAGTACACATCCCGAGGGAATTGGTACTTTACATACTGTGGAGAAGTAGTATCTTCCTGGTGATTTCCCACATCTCTTGTTGGGAAGCCCAGGTGTCTAAACCACTACACTTTTAAATCACTCCCTATTTTAAACACAGAAAATCCATCAACTATTGAAGAAAAGCACCAAATGTTGGCTTTCTCAAAAAAAAAAACCAAAACAAACCTTTTCCCTCCAAGCACTGACATCAGGTTTCACAGAACTGGGCTCTCAGTGACTACTCTTTGCTCCTTACCCTGAAGCCAACTGTGCAGTTTTGCAGCAATCTGTAGTACTTTCGAACCACAGTCGCTCCACTCGGCTGGTGGCTGACACACACACAGACCACACAGTCCTTTAAATCTACAAAATGCATCGCAACTCCTTCCGCTGACATCAATAAGAGCAGGTGATTACCCACACAACATTGACCAGCATTTCTCATTTCTTATGCAACCCAAGCACACGTAGAGAGGAGCGCACACCTGGTGACACAAACCGAAATTCTGCAGATCTTATCTCTATAGTTATATAGCACATAGCCAAAAGCAGAGCAATCCAAGCACACGGCGGCTGTAAGAACCCCTGGCAGGTGGCAGCTCTCCCAGCCTGTGCCTCTGCCCCGAGCAGAGTGTGCGTGCAGGGTGGGAGCACCCTGTGGCTGTATTCTTGGCTGGAGCCTCTAGGTGACACTACTTTAATACAAACTAACACAACAATTTCCAAACAAGACTCCAGGCTCCTTCCTGTCTCTCCTCTCCACCCTAAAATCCCATTCATCTGCAGTGAGAAAAAAAAAAGGACAAATCGCACAATCAGAACAGGAGACAAAGCCCTTCACAACTCTAGTATTCATACATGCATTCCCTATCCCACGCTGTCTCACAAGGTATACAGCTTTACTTGCTCTCATTCAGGTTTAGGTTTTGCTGTACTCGGGTTTCTCAAATGAACAGTGCTTGCATAGCTTTAATTATTAACATGGATTCAATTAGCAATCCTTGTTGATTAGGAATTCCACCACAAACGTATTCTAAGCATACTCTATAAGACTATTTTGCATGGTGCAGCGCATCTGAACACACCAAAAAAGTGGTTTGAATTCAAACCTGAACAGGCATGAATCCGACTGCATTTCTACCATTTTCTTATCAGTATAAACAAAACCCAACGACTTCTTTAAAAATAAAATCACAAGAACAGATGGAACACTATTAGCAGTTTCCTGCAACACCAGAATGCTTCAGAGGAAGGGCTCCAGCTGATTTGTCCCATTTCAATAAGCTAGCAAGCCCTGACAACCCATTCAGAAATAACAGATAGAGTGGAAATTTTTATTTTTGTTATTTCTGGCCAAGCTTCCACTTAATCTGTAGTTAGCTGTGATTTCTATGAAGAAAAGACACCGGAAAACTGAATTTTCTTTCTCCTTACTGGCAATCAGAAACAGTCTGCATTTGTTTTTTGTTTTTGAGAACCCCCACATTTAGAAGGAAACAACAGACTTCTCTTTTTTTTTTTTTTTTTTTTGCAGGGGAACAAAACGAATGCCTCACCAACTTAGACACACGCACTGCCTTTACATGGCTAACGCATTTGGCTGAAATATTTCAACTGAAACACTCAAAGCCCTCTGACATCAGAATACTTTATTTTTAGTTCAGTTTGTAGGTAGTAGAAAGCATAATTATTAACAATTTTATTACAAAAAAAAAAAGCAACAAGATATCACTTGACTTTCTGTGCTGTGTTTTACGCATGCTGTAGGAACCATTCTACACAACTCATTCACAGGGAGGAAGAGGCAGAGCAAGCAGACACTGGCATAGAAATAATGCAAAGATGGCCTAAGTCAGCAAGGAAACATGAAGACTTACTGTAAAAGCAACAAAGAGTGCGAACATCCTTTCAGCACAAAGTAAACTATAAGCCAGTGCTGTGTATAGGTGCCCTAAGGTACTTACATGAAAGACAAAGGAAGTAAGAGAACCGTATAACAAGCATGAATGCCAGCAGTGGCTTTGGATAGCTGCAGAAATTTACTTTCCACTGATGACAGCTATGGGTTGCATGCCTTCCTCAAATACCTCTCTGTATTTTATAGTATTACTTGAAGAAGTTTGCAGCATAAATTAAGGCTCCATTGTATAATTCACTCAATAAATGCCCATGGACAGAGCCCATACAAATCACTCTGTGCAACTATGTAACGTGAATATGAAAAGAGCCATTTTGGAACCTTCTGCAAAATTCTATCTCCCTCTTTACTTCTTAAAGGTGTGACTCCAAGCATTGAGGTCTTCTGGAAAAACATCCAGCTCCCCACATGATCCTTAAAAAGCTTGTCAAGTCCATTGCTTCCAAACAGACGAACACATTCCCCAACTCTGTGCAAAACTCCTGGCTCCAAAAGCACTGAGCAGCCATCTGTGGAGTTACCTCAAGTTATTGTCTCAGTACTGGACATTGCCTGTACTGGGCTACAAGCAACATGAACTGAAGAGGAAGACTGAAAGCAGTTAGAGGTCCCATCATTCACTGTAAAACAAAGGACAACTGCTTTCTGGTGAGCTGCTTGAGAAAAACAGAAAGGTCCTGACCCTGAGCTCAATGGGCAGGCAAAGGTGAGGTAGTCAGCAGGTGAAAGCAGAGAGCAAGCTGTCAGCCTGGAGGCTCACCTGCAGCTGGGTATCTGCTGCTGCCCTGCTAGATCCCAGCACCCCTCTCAGGAGCCATTCATGCAGCCATCCATACAGCCATGGTGCTTTGCAGGCAACGGAAAGCACCTTTGGAAATTGAAAGCCTTCAAGTTTTACTTTATAGGCCTGCGAGGCCGGCGGGGCCTGCAAGAGCTGATGCTGCCTGCCCGTCCCACGGGCTGCAGGGAGCCACACGCCTGGCCGACACTGCAGGCAGCCACGTGCTCACTAAGAGCTGCTGCGTCCAAACCCAGCCCTGGAATCAGAAAATACATCGGGTCAACGACGAGATTAAGCCGGGTGTTTCTGGACCTGCGAGCACCCGAGCCGCTTCACAAACAGCCCTGCCACGTTCCTGCCCTCACCAATGTCCCTGCACACGCGTGCGGGTGCGCTCCGAGGCACGGGTCACACCGCTCAGCACTCAGCGCGGATCACACGGCGCAGGTAGGCGATAGAAACGCTCCGCAACACCCTCAGCTTCGGAGCCGTGAGGGCTGTCATCGCCCGGCAGCGTGAGACCACGGCATCCATCTGCTCAAAGGAAAGCAGGCTGCAGCATCGCCCCGGCTCCATGTTGCACAGCAGCCCATGCACCGCTCTACTACCGCCCGGATCCCGGTCGCACGGTCCGCCGGCAACAGCCCTGCCGTTAACACGCCACCTGTTACCTTTCCGAAACGCTGAAATTATCTTACGATCATTTTCAGCGCGGCAAACGCGGTTTAACCTTTATTGCACCTGGGGGCACGGCCCCGCTCGGCCCGTGCCCGACCTACGCACGTGTGCCGGAACGCGCCCCGAGCGCTGCCCGCAGCACCCAGCTCAGCGCAGCGCCTGGCCTCCCGCTCCCGCTGCTCCCCTACAACAAAAACACACCCACCCAGCGGGCTACCGTTGCCCGTTGCCGTGGTAATCCGAATGCCTGGGTACTCGCTGATTATCGGCGAACGAGACTCACATTGTTCACACCGCAGCGCGTCCGCTACGTTAATGTGAGATAATGGCAGCCAGAAGACTCCTTTTGTTCCCGGCTTTGCTGTTTATTCATAGTGCCTGGAGGTCAGCGACTGCTACAACAACCGGGGAAGGAACCGCCGAACGCGTGAGCAGATTCCACTTCTGCTTTTGCCCGAGAGGGGACCGCGAGCAGCCCTGCGCCGGAGCGGGGCAGCGGGAGCTGCGGTCTGACTCACGCAGGTGTAGCGGGCGGCTAGGAGGGAGATGTGATGGACTTGCACTTCCGAGATTTTAGATGAAGCTGATTTACGCTCGCAGGGAACAGGAAAAAGCCGCTTTCTGCAGAGGCGGGGGGGCAGCAGAGCCCCGCCACAACTTACGGGAGGCAGCCGGGCTGCCTGCGGGAGCCGCGGCGCCGGGGGGGCGGCCGGGCAGCGCGGCGGGGCCGGGAGCGGAGCGGGCAGGGGCGGGCGGCGGAGCGCCCCGGGGCCACGCGGCGGCTCCGGTAGCGGGGCTGGGCACGGCGTGCGGGGGGTGTGGGGGGGCACGGAAAGGGCCGGGCGGGGAGGCGTCAGGAGGCGGCTCCGGTAATTCGCCCGTCAAAGTTGCCTGGGAATGCCGCGGCTGCCACAATGACACCGGCGAACGGACTATCGCATCTCCCTGCTGAGGTAAGTGGTAAAAGAGAGGACAAGCAGGCGGTGGTACCTTCCCCGCCTTCTGAGCTCGGGGAGATGCATCGATGCGCGATCCCCTGGCTGAGGTGCTGTTCCTCGTTCTTACAACAGCTTTCTCATTTGGAGAAACGACCGATTCCTATTAAAGGCATCGTCGGTATCTAATTAATTCACGGGTTCGCCTGAACAGGTTGTCGGTGCTCTGTGTCAATGAGAGGTCTTTGTTATCGCTGTGTAAAATCCGGCAGCGATTTCAGTAGGAATTTCTAAGCCACCCTGTTCTAGGAAAGCCATTAGCTCTCCCTCGTGCAATTAGTAGAGACTGCTTCCTTTTCTTCCTTGGCGATACTACGGAGACTTAAGAACCCAAGTGTATGGGAATAGTAAGAATAAACAAAATACATTAATATATCGATAATTCACTCCTTTTGTAATGCATCTACGGAGAAATCCTGGGGAGGGTCCCATTCTCAACTATCAGAATGAATAACAGGAGCATGCAATGAAAAGGCATCAAAAAAACATCGGGTTTAGACAAAACACACGTGTTCATGCTGCCAAATTATCCCCCCATAAAACATGGAGGTAAAAAAGAAGCCGTATTTGACATCACTTATGGCAGGAACATATTTCTCCCGACCCAGGGCTGCGTGCAGGGCGCAGGCTGCTCTGACGGTCACAGGCACTCCTCCAGTTACAAGACTCCCCATGTGCTGTATCAAAGAGCTAAGCAAAGTAGAGCTCTCAGTGTCACCACACGGTTATCATGCTGGCAGTCAAAATTGGTAAAAACTAAGGATGTTGCCACTGCTGAAGGATTTGAACTCCGGTGCCATCACAAATGAATTGGTTTCGTGGAGAACAAGTGACAGAGGGAACCTTCCCTCCACACGGGGAGAGCAGAATCACCCGGGCTCAGCACAAACCATCTGCTGCTGCAGGCAGCCCTCCTGCAACGAGCAGGAGACAGCAACGCTTCTCACCCAACAGTAAATTGCAATCAAGGAGACGCTTTTAGGAACTGGATGTTCACTCTGCCCCAAACACCAGGACTTCAGCTGTCTTTTCAAAGGTAGAGCTATATTTTAAAAACTACTGAAGGCAGAGCAAAACCTGGGAAGGTCAGGTTTTGCCTCAGTCAGCAGATACAGCTTACATTGTGCTTGCCTCGTCTTTATGAGGGATTTAAAAAATATCAGCTGACACTTATTACAAAAAAAAAAAACCAAAAAACAACACCACCAAAAACACAAAATAAACCCCAAACTTTTTATCTAGTATACATAGAGCTTAGATGAAAAAATGTAAAGAATACACTTATGTGTACATACCAGTATACCAAAATGATAGTAGCTGTATTGCCATGCATTATCCTTATAGCAGTAGCACTTACTTTGGCACCCTCGTAAATACAGATGCCTCACATAGTGCTGTACACACAATAAGAAATGATCTTTACCCTCTTCCTTTTACCAAACATGTGAAGAACACACACTGGAAGAGTACTGAAGCTGCCCACTACTGTTTTCAGCTCTTGCCCATCCATTTCTCCTTTTACCACAATGACTGACCACAAAATTAGCCCACTTAAAATGAAATGCAGATTTTTCACGTGAAAATATTGGAGGTTTAATTATTAACAGCTCATAGTTACACACTTTCATTTTTCAATTAGAGATCACTAATAATTTGCTTTTAGCTCCAATACTCTTTCAAGGTTTTAGTCTAGTTTCTTCCCATAATAGGAGTATACTAAATTTAATGTTAGTGATCCCAGGGGACAAGGTGGGCAAACAGTCTTGGGACAGTATTTTCAAGCAATTACAGTCTTCTTTTTACAATACTCAGAGCGTGAGGATCCTTACTTAACACTGCTTTCAACATTTTCTTTTCTTTAAGTAGTGCCACATCTGCAGAAACATTTTTGGATTCTGAATTTCTTCCCTCATATTCTCCTGATGCTGTGGATTTTATCATATCTTGATCTAGAGGACTAAAGAAAGAGAGCATTCTTCCACAATTGGGAGATACAGAGTTTGTTTAACAGAGTATATTGTCTTACATTACCATCTGTTCAGTCCCTAATTACATTTATTTCATAATTAAAAAAAAATGAAAAGTCTTTGAAACAATCTTATTTTTCAGCTTAACACTTTTAAATTGTTTTACAAGGACTGTACCTGCACACCACAGCCATCTGCAATAATCATGTGATCTCAGGTTGGATATTATGAAAAATTTCTTCTCAGATGCACTGGCAGAAGCTCACCAGGGGGTGGTAGAGTCATTGTCCGTAGTGGAGAAGAACTGTAGAGAGGTGGCAACTGAGGGATGTGGGCAGGGTGGCAGGGGTTGACAGCTGGACTAGATCTTAGTGCTCTTTTTAACCCTAATGATTCTATGGTCTTCAGCTTTGCCCTGATGTATGGAAGAAGCATAAGTATTTGTTTTCATAACAGGTGCATTGTACACCCAGCACCTGACCTTTCACTTAATTTCCCCCATCTGGACTCCTACAAGCAACTACCACCATCAGCCAACTTGATAAGGCAGCAACCTCTGCAGAAACGTTGACAATGCTGGTACCAATGTTGGCAGTGTGTTACAGCCAGCTCGCTCCTCATTCTTAACAAACCATGTAAGGGATGGTCCTAACCACCCAGTAGAAGTTCAGACACAGGATCATCAATCTCTTCCAAAAGCTCCTGGCAATGTAAGTTCAGATGTTAGTTAAGCTTTAGGTGGAAAATAAAGGGACAAAACCAACACTAAAATAAAGCACCCTTGTAAAGCGATTCTAACCAATAAAATGTATTTGTGGGAATTGCCTGAATATAAAACAATAATGATAATAAATAAAGTAGTACTGTAATACTAAATTACTAGTTAATTTGACACACTGTTTAGTTTTATCAAAACCTCTGGCATTAAGTCATTTGTGTTAAAAATAACTCTATCTTCATAATTCTCATCAACCTTGACTGCCTTATGCAGACATCACTGTAATTTGCTCACCAACTGCAGGACAGCTGCCAATGAATACAGAAGACCAACACTTGAAACTAGAGAGAAGACATCAGGAACCTGAAGAACACTGAGGACCACACTGCAGGCTACTGCGAACAGCTGCACATCCTTGGCTGTTCATTGACAACAGGAGCTTTACCACAAGCTAGCCAAGAAACAAGCAATCCCCATGTGCCTGCATGGCTCAGAACCACCTTAGACTGATGGTTCTGATCAGGTGCAAATCTCTGAGAGGGATGAAAATGGTGCCCACTGTAACCAAGATTCAATTTGATCCATGATTATGAGATTCACCACATAATGCAGCAAAGTGTGAAGTAGGGACTTCTTCAAAGCAAAGCAAGGTGTTATTATGATGGCAATTTGTACTTACATTGTAGCATTTGCCAAAGATCTTAAAGCATCTTTAAAGGCATAAATCAGCCTCTTTGAGAAGTATTTGTCTGTTGTTATAGACATTATGTCAGACTGGAAAGCTACAACACAAAGAAGTTACACTAAGAATGAAATTTCACTCCTCTGCAAAAGGCCAGCCCAAAGACTCTCCTTAAGTCCCCCATAAATCCTTTAAGTAGGGCTTAAATTAGAAATTACACAGGATTAAGGAGGCAGATAGGTCTCATACTGGTCCTTTGGTATCTGAGTCAAATTTACCCATGTAGATCAGTAAAAAAAAAAAAAAAGTCTAAAAAGAAAATCTATGTATCTCAAAATCAATTTTGAGCTTAGCACTATCACAGTGCACAGACATAAAAACAACAAACAAAAACTGAGGGTTTTTTTTTTGGTTTTTTTTTGAGAAGCCAGTGCTCACTCTGTCCCTAAAGCGCACGATTTTGCTGTCAAACCAACTATCCGACATTACAGAGCAGGTATTTCATTGCATTTTTGTTCTATATGCAACTTGCACAGTTATTTACCACTTGATCCCCTTACTTTATAAATAAATCAGCACAAGGCAATCTCTACTCTGAAAGCATTTTTTGCATGTGTGCAGATCTTTGCATGGCTAACGTTCTGCTCAATAATATTGCCACCACAGTCCTTGATCTGTCTACCTCAGTTTTCTCTCACAACTCAATTTGCTTTCTCAAATTAAGAAGCTACCCCCAA